TTGATGAGGTGAGCTCACTCAGCCCCAGATGCCTGGAGCCTTGCCTTGGGCAGCTGCAGCTACCCTAGGGACCTGTGGTGCTCAGACCTTCCTGCCCAGCTGCGGGGGTGGGGGCTCAGCCCCAGGCCTGGGTCATGAGGCAAGAGGACATGGGCTGGCTGCCCCAGTGATGTGAAGGAGGGCCCAGAAACCCATTAGAGCCTGCGGACCCAACAGTTTTCAAGCATGAGAAGTGACACAGAGCACTGATGCCACGTCCTCAGGGGCGTCTGGGGTGACACCCCATGATCAAACATGAGCATTGCTGTAGAAAATGGGCAGCTCTTCACCCTCCTTGCCTGGCTGTCAATAAGCTATTCATACCTTCATGCCAGTTCAGGTCAAGACTTGGTGCAAATGAGCTTGCTGTAAACATTTTTAAACAAAAACACAACTGGTTTGCAGAATTCTCTGGCTTTCTCTTCCTGCAGGTAAAAGACTGTCCTTATGTACTGGCCTTTCCCCCTGGGTTGAAGGAGGTGACACAAAGCCACACCTGGAATCCTAGCTAGTTGGTATTTTCAAGCCAGCCCAGACAGAAAAGGTTTTTTATTTTTTGGGTTTTTTTTTTTTTTTGGTTGGTTGTGGGACTTGAACTCTGGGCCTGAGCACTGTCCCTCAGCTCTTCAGCTCAAGGTGAGCACTCTACCACTTGAGTCCTAGTGCCACTGCTGGCTTTTTCTGCTTATGTGGTGCTGAGGAACCAAACCCAGAGCCTCATGCCTACAAGGCAAGCACTCTACCACTGAGCCACCTTCCCAGCCCCCAGACAGAAAAGTTTTGAAGACCCTTTTTCAATGCATAGCTAGCTGCAGTGGCTTGTACCTGTCATCCTGCTACACAGGAGACTGAGATTTGGAGTATTGAAATTTGAGGCCATCCTGGGCAGAAAAGTCCAGGAGACTCCACCTCAACAGAAGGAAGCTGGACACTGTGGGTGAATGCTGATGATCCCATCAATGACTGGAAGCCTAAAATAGGCAGATTATCATCCAGGTGCATGCCCAGGGGCCAAGACTCTATCCTAAAAAAAAATAAAAAAATAAAAAGCCCAAATCAGGCTGGAGGTGTGGTGCAGTACACTGGGAAACAGGGTGTGGCTTAGAGAGCTCTTTCCAGGAAATGTGGCTTTTTACTTCGGCTCCTAACTGTACCAGCTTGACGCCCACTCCTCTCTACATGTGTAACCTTTGGATCTTATTTTGGGTTTTGGTGGTACTAGGTTTTGAACTCAGGGCTTCTACCACTCGAACCACAGCTCCCATCTTTTTGTGCTTTAGCTATTTTTTTTCCCCCAGATAGGGTCTTCTGTTTTGTTCAAGGGGGCCAGCCTTGGGTCACAATCCTACCTATTACCTATGTCCTTCCTCCTCTGTAGCTGAGATCACAGGCATGAATTACCATGCCTGGCTTATTGGTTAAGGTGGGTCTTGGTAGCTTTTTGCTAGGGCTGGTTTCCAACTGCAGTCCTTCTGATCTCTGCCTCCTGAGAAGCTGGGATTACAGAGTTGAACCACTGGGCTTGGCTCAGAGTTTAAAACACCTTTGGAAAACACAAACCCCATATCCTGTCCTTACCTAGGTACTGTCCCTATGCCTCCTCGCCTCTCACTTCTCCACTTTTCAAGCCCTGTGTCTGTCTCAACCATGCTGCACTGTCCTCGCCAGCTTTGGAGAGTCTAGCTTCTGTTCCTTGTCACCTGTTCACTCTCAGTCTTAGAGTGGTCCCTCCCACCTGTCTGTCCCTCCTTGTCTGGTTCCCTGCCTGTCTGTCCCCCTGTGCCAGAGCTCCAGGGGTGCCTGCTATTTGGGGGGCTTCCCTGGCTGTGTTACTGCCTGAAGCATCTGTTCTCAGCGTGTTAGAACAGATTATGTTTAGAGCGGACAGACTGCTCAGCTCTGAGTCATCCACCCCTCCCCCCAGGAACCTGCAGGCGCTGGAAAATCCCCCTCACTCTGCTTGGCTCCTTCCTTTCTAACCCAGGTCTCCCTCCAGCCCCTCTTCCTGGAGTACCATCCGCTCCAGGGCCTGCCTAAGCACTGGGTTCCTCTGGGAGGAAGCCCGGCTGCCTTGCTGCCCGGGGCGCGACGGGGCGCGACGGGAGGGCAGGAAGCCTGGGTTCTATTTCTGCCTCTGACCTTGCAGCTGCTGCTGCCTGCTCTCGCTGCCACCTGAGGTCCACACTGCATGGGCCCACACAGTGGGCAGCCCCTGGATTATCCTGGGAGGCTCATCAGGTTGGGGACCGGCCTGGCGAGTGCTGAGCTTCCCTGTACTGTCCTTTGCTTCTTCCTGCCTCCTTTCCTGTTGAGCAGAGGGCCTAGTGTGGGAGCAAGTTTCCTCTCCTGGAAGCAACTGAGGGGCTTTGTGGGAGGATTGCAGCTCAGTGGTTCAAATCCCAGCTCCCCCGCATGCAGCTCCAAACCAATGACTCCCCCTCCCCCATCTATGGTACAATAGACTACCTCTTCCTAAATTCTCAGCTAGTTCTGGCTCCCCTTACTCCCAGAGAGCATCCTGAACTTTCCTGAGCTGCCTCCAAGTTCCCTTCTATGGTCAGGTCTGAAGCTCCCGTCTGCTCCTTCCGGGAGAGCTCTTTCCCTGTCTGGCTCTGTCTCCTCTCACAGATGTGAAATGCAGCTGCTGTGGTGTTTTGATGGTCAGCTTCTTACAAATGAAGCCTCTAGCTAGCTTGTCCTTGCTGGCACCTCTCAGCTGACCCTGCATCTTCTCACCCTGGGGAGAGATTTGCAAACAAGGACAGGCTGGCATCTGGAAGGATCTACAGCCAAGGAGTCCCTGGGGGTCCAGACCCCTGGCACTACAGATGTGTGCTCTTGGCAGCTTTTCCCTGTTGAGTCTCACTTGGCTATTTCCTGTCCAGTCCCAAGCAGCCCCCATCCACCTCCCCCTTTTCTGGGAAAAAGCTCTAGCCCTTGCTTGCCACCAGGCATTTCCTTTCCAGACAGCACTGTGTGTGTGTTGGGGGGGGGGGTCTCCTTCCTGGCCTCTGTAGCTTTGCTTGAATGGGGCGGAGGAGTGTGTGGCGGAAGCACAGTGACTCCCCTTACCGGGAAGGACCCAAACCTGTCCCTTTCAAACTCCTTTTGCCCAAAGTCGATGCCCCTGCACCAGCCCTAGCCTCATACTCTCCCTGTGTCAGGGTCTGCCCCAAACCCACCCTCCAGCTAGCAGGAGCATTTCCCTTCACTCCCAGCCAGGGAAGGAGGCCAAACCCCTGGTCTTGTTCTTACTCTGTGGCTATCAGAATCCCCTACTCATGCACAATCTTAATCAATCTGGATGACTCAGGAACTCTGAGAAGGGAACTAGGAATCAGTATTTTTATATTAGCCTTATTAGCTACACTCTTAATGCCAGCCCATAGACATGGCCCAGAAGTCCTTGGTCACTGCTCAGAATGAGGACAGACCCGATGTCGTATGGAGAGAAGGATCAGGAAGTGGCAGGACACTTGGGCTGTGTGGACAGGCAATAGGCCATGGTCATGTGTGGGCAGGGCAGGTCTTCCCCAAGGCTTAGGAGCCCTACAAACACAAAGTGATCAGTTGGTGCCCAGCTCCTGCCCCAGGAGCTCAGAGCCTGGGGAAGAAATGCTTGACTCTGTGGAGGAGGTACCCCTCCAAAACCAGTCATCACCAGGAAGAAATGCTGGGTCAATAGCTGAAGACACGTCATTCATTCAATTACTGATTGATCATAAGCTGAGGAAGTAGAGATGAGACTGTACCTTCCATACACAGTCACAATGTGAGCCAGCAGGGCCTAGGACCCAGTACTCCAGGAAATGGTTGAGAAGAGTAAGGACCGAGACACTGTTCCTGTCTTGTCCCATTCAATCCAGAGCTTCTGTAGCCAGCTCATTCTCCAATCTAAGCTTGGAGGCCAGACCCAAGCAAGCAGGTAGAGCTGGGTAGAGGAGGGTTCCAGCCTGGGGAGGAAGAGTTGGAGACAGTGGTTTTTGATTTCTGCCTGTGTCCTGATCTTCACTGGCCTAAATCACTCCTTATCTCATTTTTTTTTTTGCTGGTCATGGGGCCTGAACTCTGGACCTGGACACTGTCCCTCAGCTCTTCAGCTCAAGCCTAGCACTCTACCACTTGAGCCACAGCTCCACTGCAGGCTTTTTCTGCTTATGTGGTGCTGAGGAATCGAACCCAGGGCCTCATGCCTGCAAGGCAAGTGCTCTACCACTGAGCCACCTTCCCAGCCCCACTCCTTACCTCTTATGTCCCCATCCAGTCACTCCTTATGTCCTGGGATGGCCTTTTCTTTCTCCATAGGAAAAGGATTTGTCATTTAGCAAAATGACATTGGGTGTTTTGTTTGGTGGAGTTTAAATTTTTTATTTATTTTTAATTTTAGAAATTATCTTTAGGTTTTTGTTGTTGTTGTTTGTTTTTTGTTTTGGTGCCAGTCCTGTGTCTTGAATTCAGGGCCTTGGCATCGTCACTGAGCTTTTTTGCTCAAGACTGGCAATCTACCATTTAAGCCAGAGCTCCACTCTGGGCTTTTTGGTGTTTAATTGGAGATATGAATCTCATGGACTTTCTTGCCCCACTGGCTTCAAACCACATCCTCAGAGCTCAGTTTCCTGAGTAGCTAGGATTACAGATGAGAGCCACTGGTGACTGGCTCGTTAAGTAGTTTTGCAAAACAGTTTCAATTCAGTATATCAGTTTGTGAGTATAATGGGCTTTTGGTTTACTCTCAGTGTTAGGAATTTGCACGGTTGGGCTCTGAGGCCTTCAAAGTCTAGGGGGATTTGGGGAAGCTGAGTCACAAATGGTGGTTCAACCCCAGTCTGCCTGTCTCAGCATACTAAATCTAACTTAACCCCTGGGGGGAGAATTATGGATCCTCCCTGAATTGAGGAGAAGGGAACTAGGGCTTGTCAGGAGCTGGACAGTGTGACTCAGAGGGCTGTCCTTTCCCACAGGTGACCCATGGGCTGAGGGCGTACGATGGCCTGTCTCTGCCTGAGGACACAGAGACTATCACAGCAGGACGGACAGGCTGGAGCTATTCGTACCTTTCTGATGATGAAGACTTGCTGGCTGATGATGCATCGGGCGGTGAGTAAGGGTCCCATGTGGAGAGTGAAGGGGGAGGGATATCTGTGGTTCTTCCCACTGGCCCTACAGCAGGCCCCATGAAGGTCACACCAGGCAGTGTTTCAGTAAGTGGGTCATGTGTCCTGAGGCCTGGTCCTGATGACCTTGGTGTGCTCTGCTCTGTGACGATCTTGAGCTGGCCATTGCTTCTCTCTGTGCCTGGCAGGGTATCATACAGGACAAACTGGACTGCCCTTCTACCTAATCCTCCTTGTCTTTGCTTGGAGACCAGGCTGGCCTGGCCACTCTATCCCACCCATCGATGGATCATCAGATCCCTAGAGTTTGAGGCCTCAGTCCACACCCTACCAGTGGAGGCTTCCACTCATACGGGCCAGCCCTCCCTAAGCATGGGGAAAGGTGACCAGTCTGTGTTTCATGGCCCTTCCCCACCGTGTGCCAAGGACCCACAACACTTCCTTTGTCGTTGTTGTTGAATAAGTCTCTGTTGTTTACAGATGGCCTGGGCAGTGGAGACCTGGGTAGCGGGGACTTTCAGATGGGTAAGTTGCTACGGCCTTTCTACGAGTCCCCATCCTGACTCTCAGGGGAGCCCCGGAGCAGATCTCCTGGCCACAGAGACCCTCATTCTCCTGGGCTGAGGGCCTTGAGTGCTCCTGGGGTGCACTATAAGGAGACCTGGGAATGGACCCATAGCTGCCGGGTGGCAGTTTTGTAACTGGTTGGCAAGTCTCTGTGGTTAGAGATGGTTGTGTTCTGTACTTGCCTATTTCATAGGCACCAGGCACGGGGCAGAGGACCCTAAATGCCAGGCAGCCATTCTGTGTTCAGAGCAGCCTGGGCCTCTCCAGGGCTAAGGTGCTTCCCTTCAGCTGGCCTAGCATGAGTATCCAAAAGCCATAAGGTGGCATTCTGACTGGGTCAGTGTCGTAGCAGCCTGGTCCTGACCATGACCTGCAAGCACCTGGTCTAAGCCCCTGCCTAAGGCTCTCCCAGATGTTGGTCTTTGCAGGGCTGAGGGATGCCTGGCAGCCACATGGAGCCCTGAAGTGGAAGTGTCAGGTGGACCCATGAACATATGCCACATCCCAGAATAGTCTCTGCCAGTGCATCCTGGGAGCTGCCTCTTACAGGGCCCTGATTTGGTCTACCCTGTCTGTTCACAGCACCTGTGGCCTCCTGTGGGACTGCCCTCAGTGTGACATCTCTGTCCTTCTGAGAGCTCCTTGCTGGCTACTTCCCTCCTGGGAAGGACTGGGAAAGGATAGAGAATCAAGAGTGACCCCCTGGAGGGCCCAAGACCAGGGCTGGGCCTTTCCTGGCAAATGGGTTTATCTGAGGGAGGCAGTATGATCCTGGGTCCTCCAGTCTCAAATCTGGCACAGCTAGCCAAGTGCCCTTGGGATATGCCCAGCCAGCTGGGCCATCTCAGCCCAGAGTAGCAGGTACACCTACCTGATGCCCAGGGTCTCGGTGTGTCCCTTGCCTGAGTCAAGCTGCTGAGATCGCTTCCTGTCCTTTTCCCTCAAGCAGAGCTGTGGTTCCTCTGGTGCAACCCCCACCCCCACCCCCCGCCAGACAACCATAGTTCTGCTACCTCTCCTCTCCTGTTTCTGCTGATCTGTCTCTTGTCTCTCCATCTGTCTCATGGGGTCTGATACTCCCTATCTATCTCCGTCCCTGCCTCGTCTGTCCTGGTTCTGTTCTTCTCCCTCTTTCTTTGTCTGTTCAACTCTGCCTCCAGCTCTTTCCCTCTGCCTCTTGGCATTCCTCTTTCTCCCTGTTCTTTCTTGCTGTCTCTGTATATCAGTCTCTGAACACCTCTGACTCAATATCACTGCCCCTCCTTCCCTCCCTGTCTCTGTCCCCACTGTAGTCTCAGGGCCATCCCTGGGCTGCCTTGCTGCAAGTATTATAATGGTTTGGCAGTCAAACAAGGGATCTCCCCTCAGTCAGTGGCCAGGCCTGGGCCAGGTGAGAGCACTGTCTTCCCTCAGGCGTCCCCCACCACTTCCTCTCAGCTGGTCCTTTGCTATCCTTTCTCTCTTTTTCCCAGCTGGACCTTGTGACATGAATTACAAAGGAAGTTGAGGTACCTCTTCCTGCTGAGACAGGCCAAGAGAGCCCTTGTCTCTGCTGTATCTGGGCTGTCAGTCTAAACACAGTGGGTCAGGTCCCTGATGTTTTCCCCCCCGGCAGGGTCAGGGTCAGGGTCAGGGCCAGAATGGGAGCCTGATAGTCTTCCCCAGACAGGCTGCTCATGGCCTATCTGAGAGACTAAGGGACAACCAGGGCTGGAGACACGGTCAAGGTGTGTTGGCGGAATCCTGCTGAACAGGAGTAGGCATCAGGAGTTGGTGGAGTGCCTACTCAGGACTAGGGCTGAACCACTGTGTGTTTCTCACCACCCTCTGAGGTGCAGAGTAGCTGCAAGCCTCCCTTCTGTCCTTCCCCTGGCCTCAAGTGAATACTCCAGATAGGCTGAGAAGGAGGCCAGGGCAGGCCCCAGAAGGCCCCTTCCCTAGGCAGACTCACCCTTTCCAGCTGCCTAAGCCTCTAGGCACTAGCACATGGCCACATGTCAGGCTGATGACCCAGGGTGCTTGCTTTGGCCTGCCTTTGGTCTGGAAGAGGGAGTAGGGTCAGGTTGGAAGGTCCTAGCCCTTCCCAGGCCCTACTAGAAAGGAGCTTTGTAGAGATCTGGCCCCTCTCTGGAAGTGGGCACATTCCTGGGCAGAGGCCTGGCCTCCTTGCCCGTGCTGGGCTGTGGGCTGAGGCCAGGGGCTGGGGTTGGGGGTTCTCAATGGGCCTCTGTGCTGATTCACAAGGGGCCTCTGTAGCAGAGCCCACGGCCCCACACTCAGCCCACAGGGCCCCACCTACCCAAGCACCCAAGAGCCCAGCCTAAGCTGGTCACTGTGGTTCAAAGCAGGCACTCACAAGCACCCTTTCTCAGAGTGGGAGTTCGTTCCTATGCCCAGCTTAGCACCCTCAGGGCCCTTTTAGTCTAAGCCACAGGCTGGATGCCTGTGTAGCTCTGGCCTGACAGTAAGATGGAAGGCACTCCCTGCTCTGTCACCTCCACCCTGCTATTTGGTCTCATGGCCTTTGCATTTACTGGTCCTCTGCTGGAATGCTTTCTCCCAGATACTTTCTGTGGCTCAACGCCTTCCTTCAGATCGCCATCAAAGAGAGCCCTTCCCTGGGCCCCTATGGGAAACACCACCTGCCCGACCCCAGCAGCCCCTTCCCCCAGCCTTCCTTATCTGTCCCCTCCCCCCAATAGAAAATGATCTCCACTGGGACACAAATTGTCATTTGTGGAGTTCATTGCTCCAAGAACATGACCTGGCACACAGACTGGTTTGGGGAATGAGTATCACTCTTAGATGAGAAGAAATAAGAAGAAGAAATAATGGGGTTTGTCCTAAAGACCAGAGTTAGTCATTATAACCAAGTTTGTACCCCACTGTGTGCTGGTCACTTTTGTAAGCCTTTACTTTCATGAACTTGTTGATCTCTTACCACAGCCTGCAGGGATAGGGACTACTCTTTTTTTTTTTTTTTTTTCTAGTCCTGGGGCTTGAACGCAAGGCCTAGGCACTGTCCCTAAGCTGCTTTTGCTGAAGGTTAGCACTCTACTACTTGAGCCACAGTGCCACTTCTGGCTTTTCCTGTGTATGTAGTACTGAAGAACTAAACCCAGGGCTTCATACATGCTAGGCAAGCACTCTACCACTAAGCCACATTCCCAGCCCATGGGCACTACTCTTATCCCCAGGTTACGTACAGGTGAAGACACCAAAGCTCAGACAGGCAGATGAGTTGTCGCAGGTCACAATCTATCGCAGGTCTGCTCCATAGGCTGAGCTGTTGGACACTAGACAACACTACCTGCATAGGGTGAACAGCTACAGCAGGTTGCACCTGCTCTATGCCAGGCTGTGCAATATACAGTCTGACATGTTAAACTCCTTTGTAACTCACATTAACTGCCTATCATGTATACTTTATTTCATAAACATTATGAATTTGGGTGTGTGTATGTGTGTGTGTGTGCGTGCGTGCATGTGTGTGCGTGCATATGTGCATATGTGCATTCTACAGTCCCTGTATACTCAACTCAGGCCAGGATGGCATCTATGCACGGGGAGCAGGCATAGAAGTCCAGAGTCATTTACTCCACAACTCAGTGCAGTAAATGCAGTTGAGCCCACATTTTACCAAGGAGGAAAGAGTAATGCAGAGAGGTGAACGGTACCTGAGTGTGGCTGACTCAAGGCTAGCATTGTCACTGTGTTGCTCTGTGGTCCAGGTGTAAGCAAAGAGGTCTGGGCCATCTAGTAGGGTGGAAAGGTCTCTGCCAGGAAAGCAGAGACACTGTGGAGCCCAGCAGGGGGCTCTCAGGTCCTGTTGGGGTGACTCAGGGGGTGTTCTTGGAGAAGGTAATGGCAGAGCCAGGTTCTGAGTAGGAACTGGCTGGGGAAGCAGGTCCACTGTGTGTTGTGATGAGTCCTGTAAAGGGCACACAGGTATGTCAGCCTCCTGAGACTATTGCCCCATTCCCACCCATCAGTCCATCTGCCTGACAGCACTACCTGCCAGCCTCACTCCTCCCTCTTTTCCACAGTGTATTTCCGGGCCCTGGTAAATTTCACTCACTCCATTGAGTACAGTCCTCAGCTAGAGGATGCAGGCTCCAAGGAGTTCCGAGAGGTGTCAGATGCTGTGGTGGACAAGGTATACTGGCGGGGGTTCAAAGTGCTGCCAGCATGATACGGGGTGTGGGGAGTTATTGGGGGCTGATGGTTCTATGTCTCCCCAGCTGGAGTCGGAGTACTTGAAGATTCCCGGAGACCAGGTTGTTAGTGTGGTGTTCATCAAGTGAGACATATCCCCTGTGGACTGGGGAGGGGCTGGGGCCACCTGGAGGGGACCAGCTTGGATACCAAGAGGACAGGGAGAGAAGTGGATGGGATGAATCACTGTGGAGAATGGGGAATTGGAGGCAGCAGGATAATCTGGCCCTTAAATGGTCTTGGCTCTCTGGGAGCAGTGCCTCAGCATTGGGGTAGGAGCCTAGTAAAAGAGCTGAGAAAACACTGGCTTTCTCCCCCTTCTCTCTGCCTGTCCCTACCTTGTCTAGGGAGCTGGATGGCTGGGTCTTTGTGGAGCTGGATGTGGGCTCCGAAGGGAACGCAGATGGAGCTCAAATTCAGGAAGTGCTGCACACGGTTGTGTCCCGGGGCTCCATTGGCTCCTATGTCACCTCCCCCCAGGGGTTCCAGTTCCGACGGCTGGGGACAGGTGAGCTCATCCCAAGGCCCGGGGTCACCTCCAGTTTGTCAGACTGCAGTGGGGCCCTTTTCAGTGTCTCTACCATGAGATGGTGCTAGCTTGGGTTTGCACACCATGGGGACCAGGGAGCTTACTGACCAGGGAGCCTGTGTCTTCCTGCCCAGCACTATGAAGCCTTGGCTTGTGTAAAGCCAAACAGCTCCTGCTGACAAGTACCCATTATTAGACCCGACATCTGCCCTCCATGTAGACCTCAGTACTTTGACAACAGCTACCGCTTCACTTCTTTGTGTAGGGATTCCAAGGTCCTAAGACTTGCATTCAGGAACAACCAACAGTAGTTTCCTGAGCACTAAGTGTATGCCAGGCCCTCTGCTGGGACCTGACATCCAGCTTCCTATTCAAGTGCCCCATGATGGCCACATAGGAGATGTATTCCTCTTCTCTTCAAGAGGAGAGAACCAAAGCCCCAAAGGCAGCATGGCTGTCATACTTGCGTGGGCCAGACCGTGGGAAAGGCAGAATGTAAACCAGACTGGCTGGCCTAGGACCTGTGATGAGATCAGAAAAGAGAACAGCATACCGGCCCAAAGTCACACCACTGTTAGAATAGAAGCCTGGCCTTTGTGCTCAGGCCCACCCCAGGTTTCTTGTCACTTATCCCTCCATCCCCGATATTGGCTGCCTGAGTCTTCTTCTCTAGGTCGGTTCTAGTTCATGGCTCAGCCCCATCTGCATCTCAGCTCTCTCTGTGTCAAGGCCCCAACATGTCATTTTTTTGTGCTTCTAACTCAGTGGAAACCAGAACAGAACAAATGCCATCTCTCCAATGTAGTCTAATCAGGAAAGTAATAGTGAACTTATGGCCTCATAAAACTTTATTAATGGACCCAAAGATCAGCAACCTTTATTGGTGCCCACAGACCCAGGTCTAAAAGATTGTTAGGGGCTCAACCATCTGGTCGCATTTTCAATGAGTCTCCTGACTAGGGAAGCTGGGGCAGGCTTGGCTCCCCACTCAGGTCGGAGGAGGCATGGTTGCTGACCACCCCTTCCTTTCCAGCACAGACCCCCCCAACGCCCCCAGCTTCTGTGGGGGTCGCAGTGACATCAGGTGAGAGAGTGAGCCCAGTTGAGGTCCAGTGGCTTTTCCAGAGGACATAATGGGTGGAGAAAAGAAGGACATAAGCCATTGTCCAGGCATAGCCTACAGGCTGCCTTCTTTCTCCTCCTTGTCCTCCCTGGGCCCAGCTGAAATCTGCACGTGTGTGAAATGGTGGCTGCATGCATGTGGCATGTCACCTGTATATAGGTCTGTGGAAGAGGCAGCGCGGCCACTGTCACGAGCCCCCTGCCCTGTGTGTGCTGTGGGAGTGTCTGCCAAGTGCAGCTTGTGCTTGCTATGTCTGCCACGGTGACCCAACATAAGCCATGCACTGCCTTTGCCATCTGCTATACCTCCAGCTACTTGATCCCTACCACCTCTGACTCCTACCAACCTCTTAGTGCCCCAGGTGCCCAGGGTCTGCACAGAGGCTGAGTTTGCCTGCCACAGTCACAATGAATGTGTGGCCCTGGAGTATCGCTGCGACCGGAGGCCTGATTGCAGGGACATGTCTGATGAGCTTGATTGCGGTGAGGGGTACAAGCAGCGGTGGGTGCCAGGGGTGTGGTCTATGTCTGGGTCTCAAAGTTGTCTGGGCTCTGAGAGTTGGGAGCAGGCAGAGGACTCTGAGGAGGGTTGGGGTGGAGAAGGGGGACAATAGAGGCAGGACCGGTGAGTTGACAGAGCCTGGGGTGTACAGAAGGGCTGGGGAGCAGGGGACAAGGGGGGGAGAGTCATTACTCTGCTAAACATTGGTGCCCCTGCCCACAGAGGATTCAGTCCCTGAGCTCGCCTCCCTGCCACCCTCTGGAGTGGAGACGTCACCTCCTCCAGTCTGGCCAGACGCCATAACTACACTGCCACCACCAGTTGTGCCCAGGCCCCAGCCTCTGTTCCCTGATTCAAGAGGGCTCAGACCTTGTGGGCCCCAGGAGGCCATGTGCCACAGCGGCCACTGCATCCCCAAAGACTACCTCTGTGATGGGCAAGAGGACTGCAAGGACGGCAGTGATGAGCTGGACTGCGGTGAGCACCACACAGCTTAGGGGTGCTGGGGACTGACTTTCTGGCCAGTGGAGAGCCAGCCACGATGAACCTTATCTGGTCCCCACAGGGCCCCCTCAGCCCTGTGAGCCCAATGAGTTTGCCTGTGGAAATGGCCACTGCGCCCTCAAGCTATGGCGCTGTGATGGCGACTTCGACTGCAAGGACCAGACAGATGAGGCTGACTGCCGTGAGTGTCCCTATATCCCAGTGGTAGCCCTGTCCTGCCCGGCAGCTGCCCCTGCCCCCTTCTCGGGCAGGTATGCTGGCCTCTCTGGTTGGATGTGGGGGGTCTTGGAGACAGATACCAAGGTGCATCAGAACTACCTTCGTAGCAGCCGCTGGCTACACTCCCTGGCTCCATGGCCTGTTGTCTTTGCCTTTCATGTTTCTAAGCACTATCCTTTGCTTAGGTGGGGGTCAGATGACTTGATATACTTGGTACTGTGTTAATGGAATGTGTGCATGAGTCTAAGCCTTACTCCAGGGACTGTCCTCTAACAGAATGTCAGAGGTTGGGTGCTTTAGAAGCAATAGAAGTTTATTGGGATGCGTTAGGTCTGGTTAGTATTTCACTAGGAGAATTAATTATTTGACTTATGTTCTGGAGGCTGAGTAATCTAAGATGGAAGTGCTGTGTCTAGTGAGGGCCTCCAGGCTAGATCAGAACTTGATAGAAGGCATTGCATTGTCTAGAGAGAGCAAGGAAGGAGTGAAACCATCATTTTTATTAGAAACCTCTGATAGCAGCATTAATGCACAGATGAGGCAGAGCCCTTGGACCTAATCATCTGTTAAAGCTCCCACATCTCAACACTGTTGCATTGGAAATTAGGTTTCTAACCCATGGATGTTGGGAAACACATTCAGACCATACCATGAGCCTAGAAGGTTTTCTTCTATACCCAGTTCTGAGTTGTTAGTTCTTCATCAACTTAGCTCTTCATCCATCTCTCAGTCTCATCTACTCATCCATTAAATGATCCATCCACCCTCCCATTCATTCCGTCATCCATTTATCCATTACCCTGCCCTTTATCCCTTTTCAGTCCATAATCATTCAGTCATCCACCTACCCATTCACCCAGTATTTCTTCCTTCCTTCCTTCTATCCATCCATCATCTATCTACTCAGCTCTTCATCTAGCTATCCACCCATCTGTCCAGATCTCTCTCCACCCATACACTAGCATGCTTCTTTCCTGCCATACATCTGTCCATTGCACACCCATCTATCCATCTTTTCAATGTTTTGGACATTGTGGATACTATGGCCAATGAAAAGAGGGAATCTGGGGAGTCAGATCACGTCAGGTAGCATCCTATCCAGTGAGGCAAAGCCTGGACTCCGCAGTCTGAGACTGAGGATAATCTTTAAAGCCATCCCTCTATAGACAGGGGCCGTGTATCTGGGTAGGTGGGACATTTCCACTGTTCGCTGGTCTAGCTCCTCCTAGCTTTCCATCGTCTTCCCATGGCTCTCAACTTGCCTGATGGCATCAGCCCCAAGGGAAAGAGACTTTGAGTAGCTTCCCAAAGGTCTCTGCTGGGGAAGAGACAAGGAAGGCCAAGCCCTGTTGACAGAACACAGGGGAGAATGGACATGAAGCTGCCTGGCCATGGGAGAAGGGAAATCTCTGAGCTGTGTCAGCAAATACTGAATCTAATTCCTTGCAGCACCAACTCTGGGTGTGTGGCTTTCACTCCCGCACTGGGCTTCTTTGTCAATGTCTGGCTCTCAGGCTTGGTCTCTTGAGGAAAAATGTTGGTTACCAACTGCTAGAGAGGCCTGACAGGAGCAGGCTTGGTGCCAGGCCAGCCCCAGAGCTCTGATCTGGCGCCACCCTGGTGAGTGAGCATAGAGTACAGAGCACGGAACCCACAGGAGGGGCTGGGCTATTACAGTCCTTTGCTAGGCCCGTCCAATAGAGAGAGTGATACAGGTGTTTGCTGTCTATAGACACCAGCACCTTTGGCTGTGCCTGTGACAGGGTCTCTAATTCTGAGGGTGGCTACATGTGTGAGGGGCAGTGTTTTAGTCCATTTTCGTTACTCTAATAAAATACCCAGGGTAAACTAACTTACAGTTTGGAAGGCTGAGAGTCCAAACAGCATCTCACAGGTTGTGGTAAGGGATCCTCCCTCCCCCCCTCCCGTTACCTCATGACACATGGCAGTGGCAGAAGCACTAGGAGAGGAAGAGGATACTTAATCTCATTTATTCTTTGTGTGTATGTATGTAGTACTGAGGTTTGAATTCAGGGCCTCCACTTGCTAGGCAATTTCTCCATCACTTGAGCCATGCCACTAGCCCTTTCATCTTGACACAGGAAGTCTGACAGAGACAGGGATTCCACCCACAGCCCCTCCCATGGGTCCATTTCCAATGACCCAGGGACCTTCTAATAGGCCCAAACTTGTTTTTGTTTTTAAACTGGTATTGAGCCGGGTGCTGGTGGCTCATGCCTGTAATCCTAGCTACTGAGGAGACTGAGATCTGAGGATCGCGGTTCAAAGCCAGCTCAGGCAAGGAAAGTCCGTGAGAGAACCGGAAGTGGCGCTGTGGCTCAAGAGGTAGAGGGTTTGCCTTGAGCTGAAGAGCTGAGGGACAGTGCCCAGGCCCAGAGTTCAAGCCCCATGACCGACAAAATAAATAAATAATAAACTGGTATTGAATTTGAACTCAGGAGCCTCAAAGTTGCTCAGCTTGCTTACTTGGCTGATATTCTTCCACTTGAGCCACTGGCTTTTTGGTGGTTATTTTGGACATGGAATCTTGTTGACTTTCCTGCCCAGGCTGGCTTTGAACCTGATCCTTTAGATCTCAGCCTCCTGTGTAGCATGAGCCACCAACACCCAATTTGGGGGCCTCACTTTTTTTTTTTTTGGTCAGTCATGGGTCTTGAACTCTGGACCTGGGCACTGTCCCTTAGCTCTTCAGCGCAAGGCAAGTGCTCTTCCACTTGAGCCACAGTGCCACTTCCAGTTTTCTGGTAGTTAATTGGAGATAAGAGTCTCACAGACATTCCTGCTGGGGCTGACTTTAAAGGCAATCCTCAAATCTCAGCCTCCTGAGTAGCTAGGATTATAGGTGTGAGCCACCTGTGCCTGGCTGGGCCCACTTTTTAAGGGTCTCACCACATGACCATGTGGGACCAAGCTCCCAATACAAAGACTCTTGGGGGACAAACAACACCCTAGCTACAGCAGCTAGATTGACCCTGTGCCTGTAGCTGTCACATGCCAAGTAGAGCTGTATTTTGGGGGTTGAAGGGGTGATTGGGGGTCAGGTAGTATGAAAAGCTGTTTGACAGCAGACTGACTGCGTCACCCCAGGTGTGGTGGCACAGACAATGTTGTGGCAGCCGTGGTTGGGCCTGATGAATGACCCTGGTGAAGGTGGTAGTGGACTGTTGGAGGTGGCAAGAAGAGAAGCGTAGGTGGTTCTACAGTCAGGGTCCCAGTGCCCACTCTACCTGGCTTTGCCCCCAGCCACCAAGCAACCTGAGGAAGTATGCGAGCCCACACAGTTCCGCTGTGTCTCCACCAACCTGTGCATCCCAACCAGCTTCCAATGTGACGAGGAGAGTGACTGCCCTGACCGCAGTGATGAGTTTGGCTGCAGTAAGCTGGCGGGGGGGGGGGGGGGGGGGGGGCAATGTGAGCAGCTCTGGGCGGGGCCTCACTGGCTTCTCCCCCATCTCAGCCCCTGCTCTCTCCTGCCTGGGGGAAGGGGTCCTTCTTGCCCTGCCCTGCTCTGCCTCTCAGACCTTTCTCATTCCTGCTTTGGTCTTCCCCAGTGCCTCCACAGGTGGTGACCCCTCCCCAGGAGTCCATCCAGGTTTCCCGAGGCCAGACAGTGACCTTCACCTGTGTGGCCATTGGTGTCCCCACCCCTATCATCAACTGGAGACTCAACTGGGGCCACATTCCCTCAAATTCCAGGTGTGACCCAGGCCCGGGTGGAGGGTGGTGAGAATGTGGAAGAGCTCAGCTGGTGGCACAGGCTGAGCCTGACCCTGAGCCATTACTGCCTTGGGGCCCATCAGGGTGACAATGACCAGTGAGGGTGGCCGCGGCACACTGACTATCCGTGACGTGAAAGAGGCAGACCAGGGAGCCTACACCTGCGAGGCTATGAATGCACGGGGCATGGTATTCGGCATTCCTGATGGCGTGCTGGAGCTCGTCCCGCAGCGAGGTGGGCTGGCAGAGGGTGGGCACTGGCTGGGGAAGGAGCATAGCTGTCTGCTGGAGGATGACCACAGTTCCTGATGCCCACAGGTCCCTGCCCTGACGGGCACTTCTACCTGGAGGACAGTGCCTCCTGCCTGCCCTGCTTCTGCTTCGGAGTCACCAGCATGTGCCAGAGCAGCCGCCGCTTCCGGGACCAGATCCATTTGCGCTTTGATCAGCCCGAGGACTTCAAGGGTGCGCTGGGCAGGGGGCAGATGCTATGGGATGGGGGAGGTGGACACCAGGCTCCAGGGAACTCAAAGAGAGGACAGGCATAAGAGGACATGTACTAGTTTGGGACCACAGGAGGGGAGGGAGACAGGGTTGCAGAGAAACAGCTCTATTGGAAAAGCATTTCTGGGGAAAACTTGTTATGCCAGTATTGGGTCTAGAACTGAGGGCCTTGGAGCTGTCCCTTAGCTTTTTCACTCTAGATTGGCAGTCTACTACTTGAGCCATAGCTCCTCTTTTGGCTTTTTCATGGTTTATTACAGGTAAGAGACTCATTGACTTTCCTGCCCAGACTGGTGTTTGTTTGTTTGTTTTTTTGCCAGTCGTGGGGCCTGAACTCTGGGCCTGGATGCTGTCCTTCAGCTCTTCAGCTCAAGACTAGTGCTCTACCACTTGAGCCACAGTGCCACTTCCGGCTTTTTCTGCTTATGTGGTGCTAAGGAATCAAACCCAGGGCCTCATGCATGCAAAGCAAGCACTCTACCACTGAGCCACCTTCCCAGCCACCACCCCTCCCCCTCCCCCCCTGCCCCGGACTGGTTTTGAACCACAGTCCTCAGATCTCAGCCTCCTGAATGGCTAGGACTACAGGTGCAAGCTACTAGAACCCAGCTAAGGGAAAACATTTTTTAGGAGAAGCCAAATACACTTGGCACTTTCCTGCTTTGGTTCATAAAGAGTACAGACCTGATTTTGTCTCTTCTTGCCTGTGTGCCTTTTGCTAACTTACTGTCTTGAGTCTCAGTTTGTCCATCTTTCAAATGGAATGAGTCAATATGATGGCTCATACCTGCAGTCCCAGCTACTTAGGAGACTGAGGCAGGAGGATCTTGTTCAAGGGTAGCCATAGTGAGATCTTGTCTCAAAAAGAGTAATTAAGGGCTAGGAATGTGTCTTCGTGGTAGAGTGCTTATTTAGTATGGATGTAACCCTGGGTTCAATTTCCTCAGTACCACATTAACAGAAAAAGCTGGAAGTGGTGCTGTGGCTCAAGTGGTAGAGTGCTAGCCTTGAGCAAAAGAAGCTCAGGGACAGTGCACAGGCTGTGAGTTCAAGCCTTAGGACTGGCAGGAAAAAAAAAAAGAGTATGGGGGGCGGGGGGAGGCTGGGAAGGGATGTGAAGGGTAAACAAAGGAGGAGGCTGCAATGCTTGATAAGAAATGTACTTATTATCTTGCCCATGTAATTGTAACCCCTCTGTACAGTATGTTCACAAAAAAAAATTTTTATTAAAAAAAAAAGAGTAATTAAGCTGGGCGCTGATAGCTCATATCTATAATCCTTACCTATTGAGGAGGCTGAGATCTGAGGATGACAGTTTGAAACCAACCCAGAGGAAAGTCTAGGGGACTCTTATTTCTAATTAACCAGCACAAAGCTGGAAGTGGAGGTGTGGCTCAACTGGTAAGAGTTCCAGCTTTGAGAGAAAAAATCAAGGGAAAGGAAAAGGCCTTGAGTTCAAGTGCCAACACACACACACACACACACACACACACACACACACCCCTAGTAATAATAAATATATTTATTTACTCACTGAAATGCAGATTCAATACTACCTCCCTCCTAGGTTTTTGATCAGGATTAATAGGTGTACCTAAGCCACTCAGAGCAGTGCTGAGTCCCAGTAATTTTCTCAGTCTTTGGATTGTCTAGGTCTTCCTTTTTTTTTTTCCCAAATATTGAGGCCAGTGAGAGGCTCCCATCTTCTCTGGCTCTGGGAAGAGAACAAAGGGCAGCTAAGAGGATGCTTGCCCCCATGCCATGAGGACTGGTTCACATACCAGGGCCATCATTTGCCACCTGCCACTGGGCAGCTCCTCCTCTTGATTTTTCCCTTCATCATAGAGAAGTTTAGCAGCAAGGGCTCTGCTCCTTGTGCAAGAAAAAGCCTTTACCCAGTGGGTCTCCCTAGCTACACTTAGTTGGTCAAGGAACCACAAAGTAGCCTGTAGGAAACTCAGTCACCTCTCAAAATTATTCTCTCATGTATTTTGAATCTTAATGACATGACAATCCAGGGAGCTCTTGGCAAACAAAAGGCTCTGAGAAATCCTGCTGCCACAAATCCCCTAACTTTTCCTCCAACCTGTGGCTTCCAGCCATCAACCTACAGCATCGTCTTTCCCAAGACCATACTCAAAAAATCAGGAGGACAAACATGACTAGGAAGAGAAAGATCTGCTGCTTCTTAACAGAGAGAGAGAGAGAGACAGACAGACAGACAGTCAGACTGACTGACTGACATACAGACCATGGTTTTCTCTAAATGAGCTTTCCCCATAACCTTCTACCATTCTGAATCCTGCTGCTCAGGGCTGGTGTTCCAGCCTCACCCCTCCTTCTGTCCCTGCAGGTGTGAATGTGACGATGCCCACCCAGCCCGGCATGCCACCCCTCTCCTCCACTCAGCTGCAAATCGACACAGTCCTGCAGGAGTTCCAGCTCGTTGACCTGTCCCGCCGCTTCCTTGTCCACGATTCTTTCTGGGCTCTGCCTGAGCAGTTTTTGGGCAATAAGGTGAAGTCAGCTGCCACTCTGAGTGGCAATGAACCTCTGCACTCCGGACCTGCACAGGCGTTATGCTCTGTGTGTTCAGGAGCTGGATGCAAAGGGCAGTCACAGCTCTAGGGAAAGGTGTTCTACCTTGGAGGCAACAGTACAACCTCTGCCTGCTGCCCATCCCTCCTCCAGAGAGCCTTCTCTGATCACCCCAGTACTCTGGGCTGAGTTAAGTGTCCCACCCTGGTCTCCTGTGCACAGCATTATATATTCTATGCCATGGATTGGGCTCCCTCAGTGCCAGGCAGAGTACTAGGTGGGCATCGTGGTATCTCTGCTGTCTTCCCTAATCACCCCATGTTGGCCAGGTGGACTCCTATGGTGGCTCGCTGCGCTACAAGGTACGCTATGAGCTGGCGCGTGGCCCACTGGAGCCAGTGCAGAAGCCCGATGTAATCCTTGTGGGTGCTGGATATCGCCTACTCTCCCGAGGCCATACGCCCACCCAACCCGGGACTCTGAACCAGCGCCACGTCCAGCTCTCAGAGGTAGGAGGTGCCTGGGTTTAGAGGCCTGGTGGGGATGCAGACTGAGAAGGCACTGATGTGGGATCCTCCTGGTCCGCCACAGGAGCATTGGGTGCACGAGTCCGGCCGGCCGGTGCAACGCGCCGAGATTCTGCAGGTACTGGCGAACCTGGAGGGTGTGCTCATCCAGATAGTGTACAACGCCAAGATGGCCAGTGTGGGGCTGAGCGACATCACCATGGACACCACTGTAACCCACACCACCACCCATGGCCGTGCTCATAGTGTGGAGGAGTGCAGGTACCTGACCCAGGAGGGTGGGAACCACAGGGACTCTGGCCTGGGTACAGGAGAAGCAGCCATTCTCATGGTCCTGTCTCTACAGATGTCCTATTGGCTATTCCGGCTTGTCCTGTGAGAGCTGTGATACTCATTTTACCCGGGTGCCTGGTGGTCCCTACCTGGGCACCTGCTCTGGCTGCAATTGCAATGGCCATGCCAGTGCCTGTGATCCCATCTATGGCCACTGCTTGGTGAGTCGTGCCAGGTGGCAGATGCAAACATGGAGAGGGTGGTAGGTTTGGATTAGCATGAAGTGGGGGTAAGGAATTGTCTGTGGGCTGGACTGCCTTGTAAGGTGCTAAACTCAGTCATCAGTAGGCTGCCACTCTGTGGAATATTCTATTGTAATGGGAGAGGCTGAGCCAGATGTCCCCAAAGGCCAGCCAGAGCCTGTCTGGCCCAGTTCTGTTCTGTGGGACCTGAGCCACTCCCTGTTCTGCCTTGCTTCTAGAACTGCCAGCACAACACAGAAGGACCACAGTGCAACAAGTGCAAGGCTGGCTTCTTTGGGGATGCCACAAAGGCCACGGCCACAGCCTGCCGGCCCTGCCCATGCCCGTACATCGATGCCTCCCGCAGGTCAGCTCCAGCTCATTGTGTGCAGCACAGCAGCGGCTGGGAGGGATGTGGGAGACCCAGATTCCACTTCCAACCTAAATTGCCCCACACTTCTTGGCCTCTCTGGGCCTCAGTTTTCCTTTCTGTGTAATGGATTGATTACTCTAGCTCAGGGACAAGTGGGTGGGGAGATATGACACATCTAGTGTACGAGTCAGTGTGGATGGCAGCTATTTCCAGGGGTGTACAGGTAAGACCTGGCCCCCGACACTGTCCACTCAATACCCACAGATTCTCCGACACTTGCTTCTTGGACACAGATGGCCAGGCCACATGTGATGCTTGTGCCCCTGGGTATACAGGCCGTCGATGTGAGAGGTGAGGGAATTCTGGCATGCGCTGGGGGCAGCAGGCTGGCCTGGGAGGGGTGGGGCGTGGAAGAGTTGCTGACCATGCTCTTTTTCCCCTAGCTGTGCCCCTGGGTATGAGGGCAATCCCATCCAGCCGGATGGGAAGTGCAGGCCCATCAGTGAGTATCTCAGCCCCATCCTGGCACTTCCTGGCTGCCTGCCAGGCCCCTCCCATTCAGGATTCCAGAATTGCCCCACCCTTGGTCTGTTATAACTCCCACCTTGTGCCCCAGACCAGGAGATTGTGCGCTGTGACGAGAGAGGCAGCATGGGGACCACTGGGGAGGCCTGTCGTTGTAAGGTATGTACACCGTCTGCAACAAACCTCCAAGGCCTGGATCTCCAGCACCACCATGGGCTCAGGGAGGATGGAGGCTCCACCTTCTCTTAGCACCATGGCCAGTGAGCAATGGGCAGTGAACAGGGGCCCTGGTTAGGGAGTCAAGTACCTTGAATTCAAGTCCCAGCCATGCAGCTGTACCAGGTCATGGCCTTGGTCATGATTTTCCAGGCCTCACATTGACCAGTGATGTCTGTCTGAGCACCACTGACTGATTCATGGATGAGAAAGCAAAGCTTAGAATCACTTAGAATCAACAGTTGAGAGGATCACGTCTCAGTGGAGAAAAGAACAGGGCAGATCTTGGAGTCTGGAACTCCTGATCTTACATTCCAGAGTAAATGAGCGAGCTGAGTGTCCTTGTGCAAGTCATTTCACATTCATGAGCCTCAGTTTCCTCCTGAGAAGGATAGAGTTAACCTTCTCCTACCTCTTTAGGTTCTTAAAGGGAATAACTAAGATGATGACTACAGAGAAACTAGCATAGTGCTTGAAACACTCCACAGATTGTAGGAGTCATTATTTTAATCAAGTTGCTTTATTTTATTTTATTTTGTTGGTTGTAGGGCTTGAACTCAGAGCCTGGGTGCTGTCCGTGAGCTTTTCTGCTCAAGGCTAGCACTCTACCACTTTGAGCTACAGCTCCATTTCCAGTTTCCTGATAGTTAATTGGAAATAAGAGTCTCGCAGACTTTCCTTCCCCTGCTGGCTTTGAACCACAAGCCTCAGATCTCAGCCTCCTGAGTAGCCAGGATTTACAGGTGTGAGCTACCAATGGCCTGGCAAGTTGCTTTATTTTAAATCTCAGCTTATCTGTGAAGCCCTGGCTTCACAGAGAAAAGGGGAAAAAAAGCAGTGGCATAAGCACTCATTAACTGGGAGTTATTAATCAGGTGGTAGTGATAACCTCACACATATGCTCTTGCCTTGGCGCGCTGGGTCTCATCTAGACTGTGGGTGGATTAAATTGGATAGCCCTTCTGCGGGCTATCCTGCAGCTCCCAGCTCTATACCTGCAGAACAACGTGGTGGGGCGCTTGTGCAATGAGTGTGCCGATGGGTCTTTCCACCTGAGCTCCCAGAACCCCGATGGCTGCCTCAAGTGCTTCTGTATGGGTGTCAGTCGCCAGTGTACCAGCTCCTCCTGGAGCCGTGCCCAGGTACTCACTCAAGGAGGGTGGTGGGTTGGTGGAATGGCCATGCCCAGGGATGGATGGACCAAGGGCTAGGCCTGAGCCACAGTCTATCCTGGCCTTCTCCCCACTCAGGTCCTCGGGGCCTCTGAGGAGCCCACCCAGTTCAGCCTGACCAATGCTGCCGGCACCCACACCACCAGCGAAGGCATCTCGTCTCCCACATCTGGGGAGCTGGTTTTCTCCTCATTCCAAAGCCTCCTGTCTGGACCTTACTTCTGGAGCCTCCCTTCACGCTTCCGGGGGGACAAGGTGGGCAGGGGTAGGAAAGGGAAAGCAGTGGGAACAGCACAGGCAAGGCATGGAAGCAGGGGTCTTGGGAGAAGAGTGAGATACCCCATGTTGAAGAGGAGGCCCAACTGCAGACCCCCCTGAATGCCTGTCCACCTTGTATCCCAGGTGACCTCCTATGGAGGAGAGCTGCACTTCACAGTGACCCAGCGGCCCCGGCCCAGCTCTGCACCCCTGCATGGGCAGCCGCTGGTGGTACTGCAGGGTAATGGCATTGTCCTGGAGCACCACACCTCACAGGAGCCCATCCCTGGCCAGCCCAGTGACTTCACTGTACCCTTCCGGGAGGTGAGCTAACAGCCAGCCCAGTGGCCCTTCCAAGGGTGAAGATGGCCACTGATACTGTCTATGCATCTGCACCCAAGGTGGCAAGGGTTGGACACACGTGTCTTTTCCTTGGCAGCAAGCATGGCAGCGACCTGATGGACAGCCAGCCACACGGGAGCACCTGCTGATGGCACTGGCGGGAATTGATGCCCTTCTGATCCAAGCATCTTATACCCAGCAGCCCGCTGAGAGCAGGTGACTGGGGCCTGGGCAAGACAGAGGGGCTTGGGTAGGGGGCCCAGGCTAAGCACTGTAAAGCATTCAGCTCTGCCACTTACTGGTTGTGTGTGATCAGCCACACTTAGCTAGTATGGTCTTAGAATAGACTCCTAAAAAAGCAATCAGGAGCGATGCCAGTCACTGGTGGCTCACACCTGTAATCCTAGCTACTCAGGATGCTGACTGAGATCTGAGAATCTTTGATTCATAGCGAGCCTAGGCAGAAAAGTCCCCGTAAGAATCTTATCTCCAATTAACCACCAGAAAACCTCAATTAGAGCTGTGGCTCAAGTGGTAGAGTGCTAGCCTTGAGCAAAAGAAAGAGCTCAGGGACAGCAATCAGGCCCTGAGTCCAAGTGACTTATAAAAAAAAAAAAAAAAAAGAGCCGGGCGCTGGTGGCTCACGCCTGTAATCCTAGCTACTCAGGAGGCTGAGATCTGAGGATCGAGGTTCAAAGCCAGCCTGGGCAGGAGAGACTGTGAGACTCCTATCTCCAATAAACCACCAGAAAACCGGAAGTGGCGCTGTAGCTCAAGTGGTAGAGCGCTTGCCTTGAGCTGAAGAGCTGAGGGACAGCACCCAGGCCCAGAGTTCAAGCCCCACGACTGACAAAAAAAAGAAAAAAATAAGAGTACTCTAGCCCTGAGTTCAAGCCTTGGCAGGTGCACTTGTGTGTGTGCACATACACATGCAAAAAGATTAGGATGAGAAGGATGCAAGAAAGGGAGGTATCAAGCAAGAACATGACCCCAAGGTCAAGCCTGACCTCAACCCCAGCCCATGGAGAGCTCTGAGAGTAACTGGCCTTCTAACTGATTTTGGACCAATCTTAGCCTGTCATGGACCACCCCAGGGAGCAGGTGTAACCTGTTTCTCTTTGGAGAAAGTACACATGTGAGCTGTTAGCTATAGCCCCTGCAGCTGCTGTGGGCCAGAGGCCCCATCCACAGACCTGGACAAGGCTCCATGGCAGGATGCCAGGGTTGGCAGGAGGACTAGTGGGAGATGGATCCAGGACTCTGGCAGCCTGGCACAGAGAGTACTCATTCACAGTGTGTCTTGCCATATGTAGGGTCTCTGACATTAGCATGGATGTGGCTGTGCCTGAGAACACTGGTCAAGACCCCGCTCTGGAAGTGGAGCAGTGCACCTGCCCATCTGGGTACCGTGGCCCATCCTGCCAGGTGAGTCCTGGGCCGCTCACCACGCCACCCATTCACCCACCTGCCCAGCCAGATCCCTTCATGGTACTCCCAGCTTCTCCTCCTTTGGCTCCCCACCTCCCCAGCACTCCTAACTCAGTGCCCCCCTGCCATCTTCTTTCCCTCAGGACTGTGACACAGGCTACACACGCATGCCCAGTGGCCTCTACTTGGGCACCTGTGAGCGCTGCAGCTGCCATGGCCACTCAGAGGTCTGTGAACCTGAGACTGGTACCTGCCAGGTAAGTCTCTCTCCTTCCTCCCCACCCCAGAGACCCATGGCCTTCAGGCCCAGCCTCAACTACCCTCTGTTCCTCCAGGGCTGCCAGCACCACACCGAGGGCCCACGGTGCGATCAGTGCCAGCAGGGATACTATGGGGATGCTCAGCGAGGGACACCACATGACTGCCAGCCCTGCCCCTGCCATGGACCTCCCTCTGCTGGCCAGTGCGTTCATACCCTGCCCTTTCCTGAGAGGTCCACTGCCTGCCCCCATATCTCCCCTTCCTGCCCTGTTGAGAGGCAATGATTAAACCTGGTTTGCTGTGCCTCAGTGGGTCACTTGGTAAACGAAACACCACACCTATCTCACAACCTCGGGGGCCTTGTGTGTGCAGCGGGGACGGTTCACTGCCTTAGCCCTTGTGTGAGAGCTGTGAGCTAATGCCGGTGGAGCTCTCCACATGCCCCTATTGGCCCACTCTCCTCCCCTGGTCTGAGGGAAGGGCCAAGAGACAGGGTCCCTGCCTTACTGACTGGACCTTGCCCCACCCTCTCAGGGTCTCCCACACTTGCTTTCTGGACACGGACAGCCACCCCACCTGTGACTCGTGCTCCCCAGGCCACAGCGGGCGTCACTGTGAGAGGTGAGTCAGGTGGTGGGAGGGTGGGACACAGAGGAAGGGCTGGAGTGTCCCCTCCCCCCCAGACATCCGGCCTGCCTGTCCAGGGGCCTCCTGCTCTTTCTTGCATGGGCCCTTGAAGGCTGCTGATAAGAAGAGATGGCATTTGAACCCCTCAGACATGCTAACCAGCCCAGCCCAGCCCCCGTGACTGCCTAGGCCAGGCCTGCCTCCTCCTATAAGACCCCTCCCTCCTGCCAGTGAAGCCAACACACTGGCTATGTGGTCAGCCCCTTCCCATTCTGTCTTCTGTCTCCCTATCTTAAAATGAGTGAGCTAGGCAAGCTGGTTTTATCCCCAATATAGGAGTCAACACATGACCCCCTATAGGCCTGGGCTCACTGTCGTCTCCTAAGATTCTGCTTTCTCTCTTTACAGATGTTCCCAGGGTTACTATGGCAACCCCAGCCAGGGCCAGCCCTGTCAGAGTGAGTAGGGTTTAGAGGTGGGGAGGGTGCAGGGGTTGTGGTGGAACTTGAGGTGAGGGTCACAGATGGCTCTACCCTTCTGAGCTTCTGCTTCTCCCTCTGTCCTGTGAGGTGGGAGAAGACCACACCCACATCTCACAATGAGCAGCAGCATCCTCTCAGTGCTAAGTGGCATGCTCAAAGGGCAGTGAGAGTCCGGGTGCTTAGTGGTAAGTTTGTGGGTTCTAGCTGTGACTTTCCTCCATGTCAGGAGACGGCCAGATACCAGAAGTAACAGGCTGTGACTGTAACCCCCAGGGCAGTATCAGCAGCCAATGTGACGCCGCTGGCCAGTGCCAATGCAAGGTCAGTCCAAAGCTCTGCCCTCTGAGAGGTCTGGTGCTGCCCACTGCCAGGGCCTGGACAGAAGCCAGGCGGTACTTGCAGGTGGCTGGGGGCTGGGTATGAGCAATGGGCTAAGCTGTCCGGAATTGTCTCAAATGGTTGAGAAAGCTGGTCTTGCTTGGGCTTCTGGGGTGCAGGAGACTCCCAAGTCCTCCCCCTCTCCCCTACACACATCTTTCCATTGACCCACCCCAGGCCCAGGTGGAAGGACTCACCTGCAGCGAGTGCCGGCCTCACCACTTCTACCTGAGTGCTAGCAACCCTGACGGCTGCCTGCCTTGTTTCTGCATGGGCATCACCCAGCAGTGCGCCAGCTCCTCCTACACACGCCATCTGGTAAGAGCCTGGCCACGGTGGGCCTGGAGCCTGGCTCCAGCTGGGTCCCAGTTGTCCATGAGGATACCCATTGCCGTGCCCACCACTGCCCATCTCAACACTGAGCCCACTGACCCTGAGACCCTCGCCAAGTCTCATATTGCTGAGCGCAGCACCGATATCATCCTCTGCTGGATGTCCACCCTACTCATCCATTCTTTCTCTCCCAGCCAAAACTCTGCAATCCCCCCTTCGTGTCTTGATGCCCTCCCATGCCCCATCCTCGCCAAGGTGCCAACCCCAGTGCCTAAACTGACATCTCATCTTCTGCTGCCAGATTTCCACCCGCTTTGCCCCTGGGGACTTCCAAGGCTTTGCCCTGGTGAACCCTCAGCGCAACAGCCGCCTGACCGGAGGCTTCACCGTGGAACCTCTGCCGGACGGGGCCCAGCTCTCCTTTGGCAACTTTGCCAACCTCGGCCATGGATCCTTCTACTGGCAGCTGCCAGAGCTGTACCAAGGAGACAAGGTAGGGTGCACATAGGGGTCACCAAGACATCCCTAATGCCAACTCTGAGCCAGGCCCTGGGCAAGCACCAGGGTCGGTGGGTATTCTGACACAAGTTCACCGGCGGCCATGTGACTGTTATATCATGGTGCTACATGTGACATTTGGGGGTCTGTAGACTTTGACCTGCATGTTAGCTCTGCTCTCAGTTGGACCTGACAGTGCCTGGGGGAATTGAACATGGCACCTGGCATGTGCTGAGTACATGTCTGTTAATGACCATAGGAGGGAGCAAGCGAGCGAGCGAGCGTTGAAGCAGTTGTCAACTAGCATGTTTTTGAAACACAAGCTTTTGACTAGGCAGCTCCAGTTTCATTCATCTGCTTCCCCCAAATTCACTTGTGTCCACTGCAGGCCCCATGCCCGTGCCAGGTGCGGTAATTGTCACTGAGGTCACATTTACTGAGCTCACACTGTGTGCTTGGCATTGTTCCAAGCACTTCCACCTGTCTGTCACAGGTCAGATTCTACCACTGCCCGACTTCATAACAGAGGAAACCAAGGAGAGAGGTTAGGGAAACACCTAACCTCTGGTAGGTGGCATTAATAGGACTCACCCTCAGGTCTCAGGTTGTCCTTAACATGCAAAGTCTGCTGGTCCTTGCTGAGTACGTCTTTTCTACTGTGAAACAAGCTTTGGAGGGAAGGGGGTGGGGTGGGGGGTGGTATTGTGGAGGCACAGGGCCACAGGGATAGATAGATTTCCAGGACAGCCTGCCCACCTGTGTTCCTTGAGCACTCATGGCCACCTGGTGGTACCTGGGAGAATTGGGGCTTGGCCTAATTATCCCCTGCTGGCTGAGGAGGCCATTGCTAAATCAGATGCACCCCAAGGGCACTTGAGGGACTCTGAAGCTGCTCCTTGGACAGATCCCGGTACCCAGCCTTCTTGCAGGGCTGCTGTCTTCTGCTCCCCTCTTCTTCTCCCCCAACCCCTCACCTGACTGTGCTGCCTGCTGTGGCTCTTAGACCTTTCTCTGTCTCCCTCCTGGTGCTTCCCATGCCCCACAGAGGGAGGCATATTTCACACGGATGCGCCGGGCTCACCAGGTAGGCCCTTGCCGAGCAGTGTGCAATGGCATGGTGTGTTCCCGGGTGCCCTCAGCTCTGTGGGGGAGAGGCTTTTGCCCAAGACAAGGCAGGGCTGCATGAATTCAGACAGTAGATCTGCTGATCAGGGAGTTGGCACTTGGCCCTGCACTGCTGCCAAGTTGGGGACTGGCAAGGATGCATGGCTCTGGGCCTCCCCAGCTCTGTAGTCTGGTCCTGGTGGTACAAGCTATGAGAGGTAGGACAGTGACCGGGAAAGCAACTCCATGCTAATTTGCATGACTGCTTGGCCCCTGAGTTTCACCCAGTACTGCCTACCAGGTGATAAGCCCCCTGTCTGCCTGCTTGTGTCCCCCAGCAAGGGGGTACATGCCTCCCTCCCTCATCAGTGTGGCCTCTCTGCTACCATGTCCTTGGGGAGAGATTCATGCCTATGCTCTGGGTCGTGGGAGTGCTAAGTTCTGTGACCTCCACCCCATCAGAACCGCACATCCCTCTCAGAGGAGCAATGGCGTGCAGCTGTGACCACTGGGAGGATCCTGGGACTCCCAGAGGGCAGGGGCCCGGCACAGCGGGCATCTCAGGTAACTCAGGCATGACAGGGGCAGCTTGTCTCCAGGGCTCTAAAGAGCAAGCCTTCTTGACCAAGACCCTAGTCCGCCTAGGCCATTTCCTGCATGCTGGTCCAGACTTAGTCTGACCCAGTCCATGAGCACTTGGCTGTGCCATGGGCCATGTGAAGCCAGGCCCCTTCCCTTTGCCCCTCCCACACAGTCCTGGGCTGCCTCCAGCACTGCTGGCCTTGGCTCCCAGAACCATGCTCTGTCTCTGCGTTCCCAGGGTACCCCTTGGGCTCCTAGAAGCAAGAGTGCAGAGAATACAGAGCATGACTGCATGGGCGGCATAGAACAGCAATTGGCTAGGCTTGGGGCAGCTTGGGGCACAGCCTCATAGGCATCCTTCTGTGTCTGTCTGTCTGTCTGTCTCTGTCTCTCTTCGTCTCTGTCTCTCTCTGTTTCTCTCTCTCCTTTCCTTGGTCCCCCAGGTGGATGAGGCCCAGAGGCGGATGGATGCTGAAATCTGGCAGCTTCTTGCCAGCTTTGCTGCCCAACCTCATCCTCCTCCCCAGAGAGATCTTCCTTACCCCCAGCCTGCAGCTGCTCTGCGAGCAGATCCTTCCTCCTCCTCCTCCTCCTCCTCCTCCTCCCCCTCCCACTCTGTGACTTCCCCAGTAAGTTCTCAGGTAGGTGGCAAAGTGTCCCTCTCAAAGGACCCCCACCCCCCCATGCTTTTCACATTTCAGTTGTAATTTCTGGCACTACCAGGGCTGTTAATGATTTCAAATGTCCTGTTAAATTCATAATTCATCATATATCGACTCAATTATAGTTACAACTTTTTTGGGGGACCAGTCCTGGGACTTGAACTCAGCCCTGGGCACTGTCTTTGGGCTGCTTTTGCTCAAGGCTAGCACTTTACCATTTGAACCACAGCACCATTTCCAGCCTTTGTGTATGTGGTACTGAGGAGTCAAACCCAGGGCTTCATGTATACTAGGCAAGCACTCTATCACTAAGCCACACTTTCATTTATTTATTTTTTTGATGGAGGTTTGAACTTAGGGCCTTGCTATTGTTAGACAGTTACTCTTCCACTTTATTTTTCAGGTTAGGGTCTCATTTTTGCCTGGAACTAGTCTGTGACTACAATCTTCCTGTCCCTACCTCATGTGCAGCTGTGATGACAAACATGTGCCACCACACCAGCTTATTGACTGAGATGAAGTGTTGTTAACTTTTTTGCCCAGGCTAAGCTTGAAAGAAAACCCTTCATATCTCTACCTCCTAAGTAGCTGAAATTACAGGTGTATGAACCACCATGTCCAGCTTTTCTTTTTCTTTTCTTTTTCAGACAAGGTCACTGTGTAGCCCAGGCTGGCTTTGAACTCAAGATCTTCCTGTCTCAGGAATTACAAGCATATGCTACCATGCTTGGTTAAATAGTTGTACTTTTTCCTTTTTCCCAGTACTGGGATTTGAATTCAGGGCCTTGTGCTGCCTAGGCAGGCCCTCTACTTGAGCTAGGCCTCCAGTCTTATTTTTAAAATGGGGTCTTGCTCTCCTATGGCCTCCCTGCCATCCACTGGCCTGGACCACAATACTCTTATTTAAGCTTCCCACATATACATCACTGTATCATGCTTTTTTTTTTTTTGGTTGTGGGGCCTGGACGCTGTCCCTCAGCTCTTCAGCTCAAGGCTAGTGTTCTACCACTTGAGCTACAGCACCACTTCCAGCTTTTTCTGCTTATGTGGTGCTAAGGAATTGAACCGAGGGCCTCATGCGTGCAAGGCAAGCACTATACAGCTGAGCCACCTTCCCAGCCCCATGCTTTTATTTTTTGGCTGAGATAAAGTTTCGGGAACTTTTGGCCTGGGCTCCTGGTGAACTGAAATCCTTCTTGTTTTTTTCTAAGTAGCTAGGATTACAGGTATGAGCCTCTTGTGCTTAGATTCTTTTTTTCTAGCAGTATTTAGATTTGAACTCAGGGCCTGCTAAGCAGGCACTCCACAACTTGTACCCTGCCCCTTTTTTGTGTATGTGCCAATCCTAGAGCTGGTTTGAATTCACAGCTTGTTTTTCATTCACAGCTGGTACTCTGTTCCTTTCATTTCTGTCCTTGTACTAGTTAATTATAGATAAGAGTCTCATGGATTTTTCTGCCCAAAGCTTGCTTTAATCCATGATCCTCAGATCTCAGCCTCCTGAGTAGCTGGAATTAAGATGTGAGCCACCAATGTTTGGCTCCATCTCTGTTCTTTTTAGTGCTGATCCTGAGACTTGAACCCCAGGACCTAGATGCTGTCCTGAGCTTTTGTGCTCAAGGATAGCATTCTACTTGAGCCACAGCTCCACTTCCGTCTTTTTGGTGATTAGAGATAGGAATCTCATGGGCTTTCTTGCCTGGGCTGGCTTTGAACTACGATCCTCAGATCTCAGCCTCCTGAGTAATTAGGATTACAGGCCACTGGTACCTGCCATCCATCATGGTTTTAATACACACAAAAAGAACTACTAAATTTTTAGATGTTTCCCAGTGTGCCACATTAATCCTGGAGTCCATGAGAGGGACACACCCGACCGAGAAAGACAGTGATCCAGACCCAACCCAGAGGGGGCAACTGAGATGCCCAGTCAGCAGTGTGGGACCCGGCTGTTGGGCAGCAGAGGGGATGGTGTGCCTGTGTGTCCCCTGGGCCTCCCTGCAGGTCTAGGCCCTCTGCCCCCTGGGCCCCACCTGTCCCCAGCTCACCACCTGCCTTCTGTCCTAGTTCTTACTCTCCTACGGGGGTTTCTCTCTGCTTCCTGGAAGCCTCTATTACTGGCAGCTGCCCCGGGCCTTCCTGGGGAACAAGGTAACAAGGAGCTGGGGGAGGCGTGGGGGGTAGGGCAGAGAATCCTAAAATGTCAGAGGCAAGACAGCCCCTGGCCCTGTGTTAGCTACTGTATGCATTCATTTCTGGAGCATTAAGTACTTGTTGTATGCCCTCACACACACATGGGCCCTGACCTTCCAGAACACTCAGTTAGTCTCATGATCACATTGTAATTGTCATCACTGGTGTTAATATTTGTGTTCATATTGCTTCCACTGTGTTTTCTGAACAATGTAGACAGCCTTTTCAGAGTGTACGTACTGTGCGAAAGTCAGTCAGCATTCAGAAACACAGACTAGACAGGGTGAGGAAGCGAGCTAAGGAGAGAATCTGCCAAGGATAGACTCAGAGGCGTAGGCAGGTGTCAAGCCTTGATGTGCATTCTGGGCACCACGCTTTCAGTGTATGTGTGTCCTGGGTTATATAAGTGTAGTGAAGCTCTTCAAAGTGTTGCTTTTACTACTCTTTCCATGTGAGGGAAGGAGGGCTCAGAGAGGGTATCTTGTGCAAGGATACACAGCGGTGGAGCTGGAACTTGAGCCCAGGTCTTTCGGACCACAGAGCCCCTCCCCTTCCTTAATTATTATGCATGTAATTTCCTAGAAAGCTGGCCTGGACAGACATGGCTTTGAACCTGCTGGCACCCAGAACAAACAGGAAACCACTTGTTTCCATTGCTACTTGGTTTCTCCCTCACTTGCTTACCACACCCTGAGCTGGCTATGGAAAGCAGCCCCCAGCCCTGCCTGGGCAACCCAGGGTGTGGCAAGTGGTCAGCAGGTGTTTGATAAATGCTCGCCAATTGAAAGAACACACACGTGGACCTGGGTGGTAAGGCCTGCGGCAGCTGGTACTGAGCTGGCTGGTCTGCCCTGGTACCTGAGGAAAAAAGACTGTCCAGTTAGCCAGAGCTGGGGACCTTAGCTGTCCAAACAAAAGTTCCCTACTGCAAGCACACAGACACTTGCAGTTGTGCCCATGAAAACCCAAGCCTACCTTGATTGTCTGCAGTAAAGAATCTGCATGAATCTCTGGTTCATGCAACCAGAGTTCAAGGTCATCTCTATCCAGGGGCTCATTTGGGCTTTATCTCAGTTGACGTCAGTTCTCTAACTTGACTAGAGAAGTCTCTGTCCCAGTAGAAAGAAAAGGGCTAGGTTTGCCAGTCTTGCCTGATAAGGGAAGGGGCAGTTGGCTGCACTATGTACAGCCCTACCCTGTCCTCCACCCTGATTTGGCACTAGGCACACTGGCCAGACCCAGCTTGTTCTCCACTGTGGAGGAGGGGAGAACCCTAGAGTCACGTGACCTGCATAGAGGGGAAGAGTCATTCTTTAAAGAGAACCGGGGTGGTATTTGCAAAGAGGGAACTGGATTCTGGGGAGAGAAAAGCCACTCACCCAGGAAGCAAAGCTTCTGATGGCCATTGTGGCCTCCCTGTGGTAGCCTGTCATTCCCCTTGCCTGCTTTATGGAACTCTCTGTATATGAAAGGAACTTGGAGCTTGTCAGCTGGGACCATGAGGCAATGGAGGGTGGAGAACCACACAAAGCCAATAAGAGGTCACTTCCTCCCACCCCCACCCTATCACCACCCCCCCCCCACACACACACACATGCATGAAAGTGGATGGGACTAGTGATGGCCTGTTTTCATGACAACCACTGGCCTGGCCCTGGTCTCCTGGAGGAGGAAGTGAAACAGGTCCCACCAGGCCTGGAGAGGCTGCACCCCTCACCTGAGTGGTCCCAGAGAGGGCCAGCCAGCCTGTGACCAGACACTTGTCTCCCTGCAGGTGGCGGCTTATGGCGGGAAGCTTCGATACACTCTCTCCTACTCTACAGGGCCACAGGGCAGCCCCGTCTCCGACCCTGACATCCAGATCACGGTGAGCCCTCAGATATCATGGTGGCCAGCCTAGAGGAAGACTGAGGAGGCCCTGAGCCTTCACAGTGTCTGTCCCCTTAGTCCAGCACAGCTAGCCTGACACAGGCTTTCCACTGCCTGGCTGGACACTATCCAAGCTGTGACCCAGCCGGTGGGTGGTGGGGAGGAGGGAATGGCCTGGTGCTGGGAGTTACAGGAGCTTGGGAGAACAGAGAGATGGGAGGCGAGGCCAAGTGGTTCAGAGAATCTGGGACTAGTGGAGACCCCTTGCTATCCCAAGAACCCCTCAGCTCCCCTCTGAACCCTACCTGTGTCCCTCTAGGGCAACAACATCATGCTGGTGGCCTCCCAGCCTGCCCCGCAGGGCCCCGAGAGGAGGAGCTACGAGATCATCTTCCGAGAGGTGAAGACATGGGTCGCCAGGGTCTCCTGCCTGCCCAGCCTGATTTGGGGCCTCCCTTCCCATCCTCCCCTCACAGCCTCAGTTGATGCTGGAAAACAGAGGCGTGGGAGAGGCTCAAGGTAGCCTGCCAAGCACAGTGGCCCCCACCCATGCTTGACATCTCCCCACCCAGGAATTCTGGCACCGACCAGATGGGCAGCCGGCCACCCGTGAACACTTGCTCATGGCACTGGCTGACCTGGATGAGCTTCTGATCCGGGCCACCTTCTCTTCGGTGCCGAGGACTGCCAGTATCAGTTCCGTCAGCCTGGAGGTAGCCAGGCCGGGGCCCTCCCACGGGCCTCGGGCTCTTGAGGTGGAAGAGTGTCGCTGTCCCCCAGGCTACATCGGCTTGTCCTGCCAGGTGAGTGTGTGGCCAGCTGGTCACCTCTATTCAAATACAGCGATGTCAGCAACCTGACTGGCAGGCATTGTCACCACCTGTGATTACTGTCAGAGCTAGTGACCCCTGTACCCCATGCCAGCTCCATGCCATGACACTCACTCCCCCAATAGCCCTGAGTAGCCTAGAGTTATCCCCTCCCTCCAGTAAGAGAGATGTAATCAGTGGTGTAACTGAGAGCACATGGCCAATATGAGGCAGAAATGAATTGGAACCTAGGTCTGCTGCACTCCAGTGTGTCCGAACTATTGGAAGTGTCCCTCCCTCTCCCAAATGTTTGGATCCAGCTTGCATCTTTGGGCTGGCCACAGAGGCAGGGAGACCACACAAACACAGAGGACTCAAGCCCAAGCCACACAGGGGTGTGCTCACAGGGGATCTGCATGCAACAGAGTTACCTACCCTTGGAAAGCCAGTGAGGGCCCTGCTTTAGAAGGCCTGGAGCAGGGAAGACCAGGCTGCTAAGGGAGTACCTTGATCAGAGCTGACCAGAAAAACTTGTCGGCTGGCTGTGGTGTGGTGGCAGGGCAATGAGAGAGAGATGGAGCTGAGGAGCCATCTGCAGAATGAGGGCAATGGGTGGGACAAAAAAGCTGTCATTTGAATGGCCCTTGATAAAGGCGACCAGAGCTACAAGCTCTAGGAGGGCACATAATAGGTGCTCAGCTAACATCTAGAAGTGACTGTCAAGCTGCAGGAAGGGGGACTCCTGCAGGGCCAGGTGGGCATCAGAGAGGCCAGGTGAGAGCGCCTGACCGGGCTCCTGGAGTGTTTTGCACCTGTGCACCTTTTTTGGTTGACACAGAATTTTCAAATCCAAATTCAGAATTTTATGTTCCTTGAGGTTTCAGGAGGGGCACTGGAGGAAGCACAGTCTGGGTGCACATTTCTGCAGCCACGCAGAGGAGACTCATAGCTTCTCATAAAGAAGAGGGAGGGAAGGCCCCCAGTAGTGTCAGGGAGAGACCGCTCATCTCCAGGCTTGGAACCCCTCGGTGCTATGCACTGCTTCTGGCTGGTGAATGAGCACACACAGGACGATCTTCCCCGTATCCATCTCCCCTTCCCAGACCACTTTCCATTAGGTATAAAGTTTCTCTCTATATACGTCTCCCACCAGAACCTTCAGGAACAAAAGCCTGGGCTGGGGAGAAAGGAATCTGCATTGAAGATGAGTTGTTGTTTCCCTGTGCTCAGCCTGCAGGGAGGCATAGACACAGCCAGAGCAAAGATGAAAGATGGGGCACAGAGATGTGGCAAGGAATTGCAGAGCAGAGGAGGGGCCCAGCATGTCCCCTCCAGGAAGCAATGTGGAGTGCTAGACACTGGAGGGAACAGGACAGAGAAGAGGCTGGGTCTGCTGGCTCTGGGTGGGATGCAACCTTCTTCTGTCCCCCCAGGACTGTGCCCCCGGCTACACGCGCACCGGAAGTGGGCTCTACCTTGGCCACTGTGAGCTGTGTGAATGCAACGGCCACTCAGACCTCTGCCACCCAGAGACTGGGGCCTGCTCGGTGAGATGCAAGCAGGGTCCCAGGGATGGGAGGGGACTTGGTAGACAAGAGGCAAGGTCACAGCACCTGGGCCAATAGGCCAGGTCACCGAGGGGCTGTGGGCATGGCAGGGAGGCCAGAGCTATGGAGTGACATCCTTCTTTGCAAAGAAAGCTTTGGTTCTTGCCATTTTTCAGTAGTGACACATACTGTCTATGCAGGAGATAGACTACGGAAGTTTATCAGGCAGGCTTTTTGTTGTTCTAGGGATGAGGGCTTCCTGTGTACTAAAGTAATCATTCTCTTACTGAGCTGTGTCCCCAGCTCAGACTATAGAGATAAATGGAAAGGAAAGTTGCAGTCCTCTATCATCCTGCCACCTTTGGGAGTGACTGTTACTCTCCTGCTCTTCTGGCAAATTTGCTTTGGCAATACTAGGGACAGAACCAAAGGCCTCGTAAAAATATTTATGTTTTTTCCCCCAATCCTGGGGCTTAAATTTAGGGCCTAGGTGCTATCCCTTAGCTTATTTTGCTCAAGGCTAGAACTTTTATCACCACAACTTTACTTCTGGCTTTTTGGTGGTTAAAGGTAAGAGTCTCATAGATGTTCCTGCCTGGGCTGGCTTTGAACCAAACTCCTCAGATCTCAGCCTCCTGAGTAGCTAGAATTCCAGGGGTGAGCCACCAATACCCAGCTTATTTTATTTTAAATCTGAACAGGAGATCATCGTATTTACCAATCAGCTTTACTCACTCATTCATTCACAAACTTCTTTCTACATCAGTACATACTGGTTTATATCAGGACCTGAAGTGGCATGTATAGCCCTCCAGGTGTTTGATAGAGCTGTAGGCTATTAGAATTCATCCTCTGTGACCTTCTGTGAGTATTTCTTTAAGATAAGTTCAGCTGGATGCCAATGGCTCATACCTGTCATCCTAGCCACTCAGGAACCTGAGACCTAAGGCTCACAGTTCAAAGCCAGCCCAGGCAGGAAAGTCCATGAGACTCTTATCTCCAACAAATTACTAGAAAACCAGAAGTGGAGCTGTGGCTCACATGGTAGAGTGCTAGTCTTGAGCACCAAAAGCTCAGGGACAGTGCCCAGACCCCGAGTTTAAGCCTCAGTACCAGTACAGAAAGAAAAAAAAACCATGTAATTTTGTGATCCAAGGACTGTCAAGATGAAAGACTTTTGGCAAATCTTTTCTGGTGGCAGCTAATGTCTGACCCTTTGTGCCCTGCAGCAATGCCAGCACAACACTGCGGGCGAGTTCTGCGAGCTCTGTGCACCTGGTTACTATGGAGATGCTACTGCTGGGACACCTGAGGACTGCCAGCCCTGTGCCTGCCCACTGACCAACCCAGAGAACATGTGAGTGCCCTTGCTCGAGGCCTGAGCACTAACTACTGCTGGAGATGGAGGAACTCTACTGAGGAATGGAGGCTGCTACCTCGGCTCTTGGAGCAGGATGGGAGGGGACTTCCAGTAGCCTGACCTCCCCCTCCACTCCCCTAGGTTCTCCCGCACCTGTGAGAGCTTGGGAGCTGGTGGGTACCGCTGCACAGCCTGCGAACCTGGCTACACCGGCCAGTACTGTGAGCAGTAAGTATACGTACAGGAGTAGGGAGGAATGGTAGACTCCTAGGTGACAGCCCTAGGTGGGTATTAGATTCATGTCATTTGATGTCCCAGACCTTTCCCAGACTCACAGTGCCCTGGGGACACGCCAACCCAAGCTCCTGAGGAGTTGGCATGTATGCTTCATCCAGTGTCATCTCATTCCTCACACCAGTGCTTCCCCTGTAGCTGGACTAAACTTTCTGAATTCTTGGTGTTCAGATCTTGCATGTGCCGTTCCCGTTCTTTCACTTTGTTTTTTTTTGTTGTTGTTGTTTAGTACTCTGTGAATAGCCTGGGCACTGTTCCTTAGTTTTTTTCTGTCAGGACTGGTACTCTACCACTTGAGCCACATCTCCACTTTCAACTTTTTGCTCAGAGATAAGAGTCTCATTGGGGCTGGGAAGGTGGCTCAGTGGTAGAGCGCTTGCCTTGCATGCCTGAGGCCCTGGGTTCCATTCCTCAGCACCACATAAGAAAAAAGCAAAAAGCTGGAAGTGGCGCTGTGTCTCAAGTGGTAGAGTGCTAGCCTTGAGCTGAAGAGCTGAGGGACAGCGCTCAGGCCCAGAGTTCAGGCCCCACCACCGGACCCCCCCCCCAAAAAAAAAAAAAAAAAAGAGTCTCGTGGACTTTCTTGTCTGGGCTGCCTTTGAACCAAGATCTTCAAATCTTAGCATCCTGGGTAGCTAGGATTGCAGGCTGATGCCTGTGCAATTACTGGTGTCTGGCTTAATTGCATGGGATGCTATTCACTCCAAGCTCTTTTCTTCCTGGCTAGCTCCTGCTTCATTGATTCATTTAATACTTGTTTTATTTGGTTTAGTTGTCTTTGTTTTTGTTTTTTAATAATACTGGGAGGGATATATATGCTGGTACTGGGGCTTGAACTCAGGCCTTGCGATCTTGCTCGGCTTTTTTGTTCAAAGCTGAACCACACTTCCATTTCTGGCTTTTTGCTGGTTAATTGGAGGCAAGAATCTCATGGGCTTTCCTGCCTGGGCTGGCTTTGAACCATAATCCTTAGGTCTTAGCCTCCTGGGCAGTTAGAATTTCAGGCATGAGCCACAGGTGCCTGGCTGATACTGGGCTCCATGCTCACTAGGCAGGTGCTCAACTACTTAAGCCACTCCAGCAGCTATTTTTGCTCTGGTTATTTTTGAGATTGAGATTGAGGTCTCACATTTTGCCTAGGCTGGCCTGGATGGCAATCCTTCTTGCGTATGCAGATGACAAGCACACACCACCATCCCCAGCTTTTTCAGTTGAGATTGGGTCTTAAAAACTCAGACGTAAAATACTCAGGCTGGTCTGGAACCACAGTCCTCCCAATCTTAGCTTCCCAAGTAGCTAGGATTGTAGGAACAAGCCACCATACCCAATTTCATTTTGTGTTTTGTTTGTTTGTTTGTGTTGAGACAGTCTTGCATGTCGCTCAGGCTGGCTTTGAACCTCATGCTTCTGCCTCAGCCTCCTAAGTGTTGGGATTACAGGCACGAGCCACCTCACCCCACTCAACACATTTTTAGTGTGTATTCACCATGTGTCAGACAGTGTGCCTCGGCACTGAGATAAAGGGACAAACAAAACAGATCTGTTTCAGTCTTCTGGAGCCTGTAATTGGAAACAAGTCAGGGAGAAAAACTATGATATACGTATCTATTTACAAACAGCATAGTTTCTTTGAAAAAAAAACGCAGCCTTTGAGTGGATACAACAGCCCAAGCGTCCCTTCCTCTGGGAAGCTCCTGGTCTCAGGAATCTGGGTCCTCACAGCCCACATATCTCTCATTTCACACAATGTCTCCATATTGGCTTCCCAGCTACCACGTTCCACAAGACCACAGACTTGGCCATGTTTGTTCTGTTTTTTCCAGCACATAGTGTGGTACCTGCAGCATAGTAGTTGCCTAATAAACACTTGTTGACTGAATGTCTCTCTGGAGAATAAAGGCCTGACCCTTCTTACCCAGCCAATTTACACTCCCATTATAGTCTCCCTGCCCCCTGAAGGCCTGAGTTGGGGACCAGAGTTCTTCCAAAGCCCTCCACTTCCACCCCACAGTGGGTAGTGAGCTGAGCTTCCAGCTCCCCAAGTTCACTGTTCAGCTCTGGGTCCCTTGGGACTTTGACAGAGCTAATCTTCTTCCTCCTGACAGGTGTGCCCCAGGTTATGTGGGTAACCCCAATGTGCAGGGGGGGCGCTGTTTGCCTGAAGGTGAGTGGGGTCCTGACGTGGGGTGAGGGTGGTGTGCCACACAGGGAACCCCAGGATTTGGGGGAGATGGGGCTGTCTTTGGGAGGGCTGCATGCAGGGACCTCCTGCCTAAATGCCAATCCTTCCCCCACCCCAGCAGACGAAGCCCCACTGGTTGTCCAGGTCCATCCTACTCGGAGTGTGGTACCCCAAGGTGGCCCCCACTCCCTGCGGTGCAAAGTCACTGGGAGCCCTCCCCACTACTTCTACTGGTCCAGGGAAGATGGACGCCCTATGCCCAGCAGCGCCCAACAGCGGCATCAAGGTACCCACAGCCCCAGGCTTCTCAGGCTCAGGCATCACCTGGTGATGGCCATGCCCAGTCCTTTCCCTGCATCTGGGGCTGGGTAGAAGAAGGGACGTGGGCACTGATGAGCTACCCTCCCCATCTACCAGGCTCGGAGCTCCACTTCCCCAACGTGCAGCCCTCTGATGCTGGTGTCTACATCTGTACCTGCCGGAACCTCCACCACACTAGCAACAGCCGGGCAGAGCTTCTGGTCTCTGGTGAGCCCCACGCCCCCGCCCCACCATGGGCCTGCCTAAGCTGGGCTACAGCACAGTCCTAAGCCAGGGTACATTCATCTGTGAAGGAAGGGGAGGTTGCAGTATGAAGACAGCAGCCACACAGCTGGGCAGAGGTGATCTGTTTTAGAGAAGAATGGGTAGGTCTTTGTAGTCACTGAGGGTAAGAGACAGGGATGCTGCCTGGAGCCTAGGTTCTAGAGCTGTGGGAATAGGGTGTTGTTTACTGAGGTGAGAAAGGTGTCAGTTTGAAGTTGTCTTCCTGTGGGCTTCCCCCAAGCTAAATCTGAGACAGGATTTGTGAGCAAGAAGCTCAAGGGGAGTGTGGGGAGATCCGGCTTGGAAGGCAGATGTAGAAGAATTGAGGCCCAAGGCTGACCTGGGTAAAAGCATGAGTTTCTATTGGAAAAATAAAAGCAACAGTGAATGGCTAGACGCATGGCTCAAAGGGCCTGAAGCCCTGAGTTAACCCCAGTGACTCTAAAATAAAAAGCTCAGGGAAGGGAAGCAGGCCTAGGAAGAAAAGGTACCTAATAAAAGGGGAAGGGAGACTATTATCAGCCAGACTGCTGGTAGGTCAGGCCTGTAATCCTAGCTACTCAGGAGGCTGAGATCTGAGGATCACAGTTTGAAGCCAGCCCAGGCAGGAAAGTCCATGAGACTCTAATGTTCACCAGAAAACCAGAAGTGGCACTGTGGCTCAAAGTGGTAGAGTGCTAGCCTTGAGGGGGAAAGCTCAGGGACAGCACTCTGGCTCTGAGTGCAAGCCCCAAGACAAAAAATAAATAAAAAATGAATATATATATATGTATATATATATATAAATTATTGACTTGAAGATCAATGAAGCAGTAGGAAAGATGAGGCTGACAGTCACTTTCAGAAAAGGAAACTTCTGGAACATACCTGTCTGTGAAGGAGAGTGATCCCATAGCAAGGGAGAGAAGAGATGGGTGCAGCCCTCGGCTCTCAGCAGTGCCGGTTGGAGCAGGGGTGGGCAGGCGGAGGTGACAGAGAAAGAACACAGCCGCAAGACAGGGACCTGGCCAACCCCTGCTCAGGAGGGGCTTCCTGTCCCACAGAGGCTCCCAGCAAGCCCATCACGGTGACTGTGGAGGAGCCACGGAGCCAGAGTGTGCGCCCCGGAGCCGACGTCACCTTTGTCTGCACAGCCAAGAGCAAGGTGGGTGGGCACAGAGGGGACGGGGAGTCCATATCCTGGGATCTCAGAGCCCGCACACACGTCTCAGCCTGCCCCCTTGCCTTGCAGTCCCCAGCCTATACCCTGGTGTGGACCCGCCTGCACAATGAGAAGCTGCCCTCCCGGGCCATGGACTTCAACGGCATCCTCACCATTCGCAACGTGCAGCCGAGTGACGCAGGCACCTACACATGCACCGGCTCCAACATGTTTGCCATGGACCTGGGGACGGCCACTCTGCACGTACAAGGCACGTCTCATCACTATCTGACCCTCCATGACCCATCGTTTCTAACGCACTGGGGTGTTTCTGGGCTCCTACAGCGGGCCAGGTCCTGGTTTAGGCTCTGAGAAAGCAAGGAACAGAAGGACAAACACTATCTCAGCCCTCCTCAGAACCTCTGGGTGATCTCAGCCCTGGAGGCAGCACATGCAAAGTCCCTGGGGCCAGGAACATGTTGATGTCTTTAAGGGAAAGCAAAACCAACCTGGCTTTGCAAAAGGTACATGAGGACTGGAAGGTACTGCAGAGATATCTACTTGTGATAGAGAAGAGTAGGGAGTTGGGATTTTCTTTTCAGCAATAGGCAGCACAGGCAGGTCTCTAGTAGGGAAGCAGCGAGGTCATTACTGTTTGAAAAACTCCCTGTGGCTATAGTACAGGCAGATGGCCACCAGGGATAGAGTAGAAGCAGAGTGGCAAGGAGGCTGTAGTTGTGGATCATGCAACATGTCTTCTTTTCTCCCCTCCTTCTCAGCCTCTGGCACCTTATCTGCCCCTGTGGTCTCCATCAGCCCGCCCCAGCTCACAGTGCAGCCTGGGCAGTTGGCTGAGTTCCGCTGCAGCGCCACAGGGAACCCCCCGCCCACCCTGGAGTGGTCAGGTGAGGCAGAGATGACAGCAACCTTCAGGGGCTGGGCTCCTCTGCCAGGGCAGGGCAAGGCCATGGGGTTAACTGCCACCGGGGAAGGGAGGTTCCCGAGCCGGGCCAGCCCCAGCAGCTGCTCACTGCATGTGTCCATTCCAGGAGGCCCTGGGGGCCAGCTACCTCAGAAGGCTCAGATCCACGGTGGCATCCTGCGCCTGCCTGCCGTCGAGCCCTCAGATCAGAGCCAGTACCTGTGCCGAGCCCACAGCAGTGCTGGACAGCACGTGGCCAGAGCCCTGCTTCAGGTGCAAGGTGAGAGGGCCAGGCCGAGGCAGGGGCTGGGGCCTGTGGGCACGCCTGAGGCGATTCTCATCAGGTTCTGTCGCAGGTGGCAGCGGACCCAGGGTCCAGGTGAGCCCAGAGAGGACTCAGGTGACTGAGGGCCGCACAGTCAGGCTGTACTGCAGAGTGTTAGGTGTGCCCAGCACCAGCATCACCTGGAGAAAGGAAGGGGGCAGCCTGCCTCCACAGGTGAGAGAATGGAGCCCCGCAGGTCCCCAGGCTCGCCCAGCCCAGCCCCTGCCTCACCTCCCACTCCACCTGCCCCGCTCCTCTCCGGCTCCCGGGCCCTGCACCCAGCAGGTTGTCCTGCCCATCTCTTCACTGGTTCCGTGGTTCTCAGGGCCCTACTGGGCCTTGATCTCAGCTCTGTCCCTGCCCCTTTCACATTGGCACCCTCTGCCGAGCTCACGTGGCCAGGCTCTATGCCATGTAACTGACCCTCTCCATCTACCAGGCCCGCTCTGAACACACAGACATCGCCACGCTGATCATCCCAGCCGTGGCGCTCGCTGACGCTGGCTTCTACCTCTGCGTGGCCACCAGCCCCACAGGCACTTCCCAGGCACGCATCCAGGTGGTCGTCTTGTCAGGTACAGGGGACTCAGGGGCCACAGGCAAGGGAAGGATGAACCCCTGTTCTCTGGCGTCCACTCACCTCCCTGTGGTCACAGCCTCAGGTGCCAGCACCTTGCCAGTGAGGATTGAGTCTTCCTCGCCATCAGTGACTGAAGGGCAGACCCTGGACCTGAACTGTGCAGTGACGGGGTTGGCCCACACCCAGATCACGTGGTACAAGCGAGGGGGCAGCCTGCCTCCCCACGCCCAGGTAGGAGACCCCCAAAATATGGAGCAAGGGGGTTGGGGGCTCCTGCAGCCCAGCACTCCCCAGCAAAGGGCCAGGGCTGTCTCCCCTACCTCCAGTGCTCTCAGTGGCTCAGAGTTTGATGACTGCATCGTCCAGATCTAAGGACAACAGAGTCCAGCCTCGTTTCTGTTTTCTCTTCCCCCCCATCCTACCACGCAGGTCCATGGCTCCCGGCTGCGGCTCCCCCAGGTCTCCCCAGCTGACTCTGGAGACTACGTGTGCCGCGTGGAGAGTGAATTGGGCCCCAAGGAGGCTTCCATTGTCGTCTCCGTCCTCAGCACCCCCTCAGGCCCCAGCCACACCCTAGGTGAGGAGCCAGGTTGAGTCCTGGGGTCTCCCCGCTGTGGGGAGGACATCCATGGTCCTCAGTGGCCCAGGGCAGGCTGTGGTCCCGCACCATGGGCTCGGGGAGTGGAGGCTAGGCTGGACGGGGTTCTGGCTGGCCTGGAACTGGCCTGGGGTCACATCCTGACACAGGGCTTTGTCAGCCTCACTTCCCTTATCTGTGAAAGGGAGACCACACTGCCTGTAGTGTGGTGGTGATGCACACAGAAACACATGTTGGGGCCCCTGAGAAAAGGTGGGGTTGAGCCCAGCCTGGCAGGGGGGGGTTCTGGCCTCTGTATCTCTTGTCTCTCGGGGCATGGAGGGCGTGGAGCCCAAGTTAGAGGGGGTCGAGAAGGATGCCCCTTGGCTCCATGCGGAGGCAGAAGAGTATGTTCCAGCCGAGACCTCCCCAGCTGTGGCCTGGGGGCCACTGCCCAAGGCTGTCCAAGCCCTTGACCAACCCCTCTGTGCCCAGCCACTGGCAGCACCCAGCCCATCCGCATCGAGTCCTCGTCCTCCCATGTGGCGGAGGGACAGACTCTGGATCTGAACTGCAAAGTGCCTAGACAAGCCCGGGTCACATGGCGCAAGCGTGGAGGCAGCCTCCCGGCCCGGCACCAGGTACAGCAGCCCCCAGGGCCAGCCTGCTGGAGGGGCTGGGGGGGGGCCGCTCCAGCACCCTCCAACCTTCCTTCTTCGCAAACAGACCCACGGCTCCCTGCTGCGGCTGCACCAGGTGTCCCCAGCTGACTCTGGCGAGTACGTGTGCCATGTGACCCTCGGCTCAGAGCACACGGAGACCTCTGTCCTGGTCACCATTGAGCCCTCCGGCTCCATCCCTGGTGAGCAGCCCCAGTAACAGGGAAAGTGGAGGAAGCCAAGAGCCTTCTGGGAGTGAAGCCTGGGTGCCTGCCACTGCCTGCATGGGGAGGAGGCCACCGTGGCACTGGCTGCAGGGCTCTGCCCAGGTCTACCCCCTGTCTTTGGCCATGGCATTCTCGTCTCTGCCCCTGCCTCATCCTCTCGTGGCCTTACTACCTCCTCTCATTCACTCCCTTGCTCGCCACCCCCCCACCCTGGCCTCTGTCAGTAATGGAGCCAAGCCAGGACTCCAGGCTGAGGCTCCCAGACCACACAGCTGACACAGCTCCAAGTGGGTAGTTTGTGTTCTCTCCCAGGAGTCTCCACTACCTTCTCCCTTGTCCCCACAGTCCCAGGACCGGTCCCCCCTGTCAGGATCGAGTCTTCCTCCTCCACGGTAGCTGAAGGGCAGACCCTGGATCTCAGCTGTGTGGTGGCGGGACAGGCCCATGCGCAGGTCACGTGGTACAAGCGTGGAGGAAGCCTTCCTGCCCGGCACCAGGTACTCGGCACCTGGAACATGGGACAGTGCACAGGTGGTGGGAAAGGCCGTGGGACATCTGCTGAGCTCCGGAAGTCCCCTCACCCACCTATCCCCACTGCGCAGGTCCGCGGCTCCCGCCTGTACATCTTCCAGGCCTCCCCCGTGGATGCAGGAGAGTACGTCTGCCGGGCCAGCAATGGCCAGGAGGCCTCCATCACAGTCACAGTGACTGGCACCCAGGGGGCCAACTTTGCCTACCGTGAGTGGCCACCAGACGAGGGTGTGGAAGGAATTGAGGCAGGAGTGGCCTTGACAAACTGGAGTCACCATGACCTCTTATCTCCCAGCCCCAGGCAGCACCCAGCCCATCCGCATCGAGCCGTCCTCCTCCCACGTGGCCGAGGGGCAGACGCTGGACCTGAACTGTGTGCTGCCAGGACAGGCTCATGCACAAGTCACATGGCAGAAGCGCGGGGGCAGCCTGCCCACCCGGCACCAGGTACAGGCAAGAGGGTGGAAGGGCCTAGAAGAAGAGGAAGGGGTTAGTTGATGGAGAGAGCTGGAGGCTGCTCTGAGACAGAGGCCTGGGGCCCCATGGCACAGGTGCAGGGTGCAGTGGTTGGAAGCCAAAGGCCAGGCCAGGCCAGCCCAGGGGGAATCTCTGTGTCTCTACTTAGTAGCATGTGACCTCAGACAAGTTACTTAACCTCTCTGTGCTGTTCTTTCTCCATCTATGAAGCAATAATAGTAGTCCTTACTTCGTAGAATTGTCTTCAGGATCACATTAAGTGACCTATTTGCAAAACATTCAGAACTCAGCATGTGGGGAGTGCTGGGAGCCATTATCACAGTACACAGAATTTTATAGAATTTAGGATTCTGCCAGCTTCTGGCTGTGCAACTGATTCGTGAAACTCTAAGGGAAATATCCCATGGGTTTATAATGATCAGAGTAGGCACTGGAGATGAACCTTCCTTTACGACCTTAGCTTGTGTGCAACCTGTGAGCCTACACAAGCCTCTAATCCCAGCCTCTTGGGAAATGGTGATGGAGGACCACAGTTCAAAGCAGCAGGGACAAAAAGTTCTCTAGACTCCATCTCAATTGATGGCTGGGTACTGTAGCGCATACCTCTTATCCCAGCTACAAGGGAAGCATGATGGCTGGGCACAGTGGTATGCACCTGTCAGGTCCAGTGACGGGAACGTACTAGTAGGAAGGTCACAGCCCAGTCTGGCCTGGGCAGAAAATGAGACCCTACCTCAAAAGAAACCAATGCAAAAAGGGCTGGACATGCCTCAGGGGTGGAGCACTGGGCTAGGAAACCTGACGCCCCGAGTACCACCAAAAACACCATGTGAGCCCAGGGCTCGTCCTGTGCCCCCATCTTCTGAGACAAGACACCACCCTCTGCCCCACTGCTAAGCAAGACAGAGAAGCCAGTCTGTCACTGATGGCCAGGCCCCAGAGCTCCAGGTGTAGCAGGTGGCAGGTTCCAGGTATGGGGGCCCGGGAAGGATCCCCCTGACCTCACCCTCCATCTGCCCAGACCCATGGCTCCCTGCTGAGGCTCTACCAGGTGTCCCCTGCTGACTCGGGCGAGTATGTGTGCCGGGTGGAGGGCAGCTCCACGCCTCTGGAGACCTCTGTCCTTGTCAACATTGTACCCGAGGACTCTGTGCCTGGTGAGTAGCACTGGGGAAGCAGTCAGGGCTGCGGTCACCCAGGGAAGGGTCCCCCCTCCAACCATGGCAGGACCAGGAGGCCAAGCCTCAGCCCACGCTTCCCAAGAGACTACTGTCACCTGTCCCCACCCATGTGTGTGAGCCTCCTGAGGGGTACTGACCCTCTTCTCTCTGTCACCAGCACTTGGAGTTACCCCTACAGTCCGGATTGAGTCGTCTTCCTCACATGTGGCTGAAGGGCAGACCCTGGATCTGAACTGCCTCGTTAACGGGCAGGCCCATGCCCAGGTCACATGGCACAAGCGAGGGGGCAGCCTTCCCGCCCGACACCAGGTAGGAGGTGGGGAATGAAAGAGGGTCCAAAAGAGCCTGCTAACTACGGAATAAAGAATAGGGATTTGGGGCTGGGAAGATGGCTCCGCGGTAGAGTGCTTGCCTTACATGCATGAGGGTTCGATTCCTCAGCACCATCTAAGCAGAAAGCCAGGGCTCAGTGGCAAAGCGCTTGCCTAGCGAGTGCAACGTCCTGGGTTCCATCCCCACTACCAAAAAAAGAAAAGACAGGAAAAAAAGAAAGAAAGAAAGAAAAAGCTGGAAGTAGCATTGTGGCTCAAGTGGTAGAGCCCTAGCCTTGAGCTGAAGAGCTGAGGGACAGCGCCCCGGCCCAGAATTCAGCCCCCATGATTGAAAAAAAAAAAAAAACAATAGAGGTTTTGAGTTCAAGCATATTCAAGTTCAGATACTATTCTCTCCCACTTGGCCTGCTATGTGGCCTTAGGCCAGTTGCTTGACTTCTCTGAACCTTGAGGTCATCTGTCAGATGGGCTCACACTGCCTGCTTCACCTACTCTGTAGCATGTCAGCAGATGCTCGTGTCAGGTCTTAGCAGTCCCTAGGATAGGTCACGTGGCAGGCTCCATCTTGCCCCAACTCTGGGGCTCTGGGGTTGAAGAGTTATGAATGGACCTTCTCCCTATCAGGCTCCAGCTGGCTGTGTGGGGAGGGACCAGAGCTGAATGTGAGTGCCAGCTGAGTTTGCCATCTCTGTCCTGTCCTGTCCAGGTGCTTGGCTCAAGGCTGCGGCTGCCCCAGGTGACCCCAGCTGACTCTGGGGAGTATGTGTGCCGTGTGGCCAGTGGCTCAGGTACCCAGGAAGCCTCAGTCCTTGTCACCATTCAACAGCGCCTCAGACCCTTCCACAGTGAGTGTTCTGGGGATTGTGGCAAATGGTGGGTGGGAGCTGCTGGGCCCAGCACCATCTTCAGCAGTACCTATACCTTACTTTCCATCTTACCTGCCCCCCAGCCCAGAGCATGGTGTACCCTGTCCGTATCGAGTCCTCTTCGGCCTCGCTGGCCAATGGGCACACCCTGGACCTCAATTGTGTGGTTGCCAGCCACACACCCCACACCATCACCTGGTATAAGCGTGGGGGAAGCTTACCCAGCCGGCACCAGGTAGGAGCCAGCGGGCTGGAGGACACTGGCCCTGGTGGGAGGTCCAGGGTGGTGCCAGACCTTGTTCCGTGCTTGCTCAGTCCACCCGCAAACACTGGGCACCCTTGATGGATAGGCCTGAATCCCACCGAGGATACAGTTATATCCTGTGCACCTCAGCTGGGTGCCCTCGCCTGTTGTCCCTGAGAGGACATGCCCTGGGCCTGGTGCTGCTGTCCCAAGTGAAGAGAGCCAGACATGTTGAATATGACAGCAAGCGCGCATAGGGTCAGCAAGGGTGTGGAAGGGTCCTGGGTTGGAGGACGATCAAAGACTCCATCCAGAGATCCAGGCACAGGCCACACACCATGCCAGGAGCCTGAAGGGAAGCATTAGGGCCACCAGGGGGCACTGAGCACCAGGCCTCCGAGCCTTGGCCCCACCCACTACCACATGCTCCCTCCAGATCGTGGGCTCCCGGCTACGGATCCCTCAGGTGACCCCAGCTGACTCAGGAGAGTATGTGTGTCATGTCAGTAATGGTGCTGGCTCCCAGGAGACCTCGCTTATTGTCACCATCCAAGGCAGTGGCTCCGTGCACGGTGAGTGTGAGGGCAGACCTGCGGCCCACAGGTGTGGGAGGAGACCGCAGCCCCAAGTACCATCAGCTGACTTGGGCTGTCTGTCCTTTCCCCCTTGGTGCCCAGTGCCCAGTGTGTCCCCACCCATCAGGATTGAGTCCTCCTCCTCCACGGTGCTGGAGGGAGACACCTTGGATTTGAACTGCGTGGTGGCAGGGCAGACCCAGGCTACCATCACCTGGTTCAAGCGAGGGGGCAGCCTGCCTGCCAGACACCAGGTAGGGGTTAGAGCTGGGTAGTGGGGCTCCTTGTGCCCTGCGTGCCTCAGCAGACGGGGTGTTGGCACACAGAAAGCAGCCCTGACCAGGCTCTTCCCCCTTCCCTATCTGTCCCCAGGCCCATGGCTCCCGCCTGCGGCTACACCAGATGTCTGTGGCGGACTCTGGGGAGTACGTGTGTCGCGCCAACAACAACATCGAAGCCCAGGAGACCTCCATTGTGGTTACGGTCTCCCCCAGAACCAGCAACCCCTCTGGTGAGTCTGACCCTGGGAACACCAGAGTCCTTGAGTTAGAACCTGCAGACCTTGGCTGATGGTCACAGCAAGACCTCTGCAAAATGGACCTAAGTTCAATATCTTGCCTGAACCACTAAGGCACTGAGCAAGTTACTCTGCCCTTCCCTACCTCGGGCTCCAAGTAAGTAAAATGGAAGTAGTATTCCTACCTGCCTCACCAAGCGCCACTAGCCTTGTGAAGCAATTGAAATAAGCACTAAAATTCCATCTCTAACTGTTCAAATGTTCAAGAGCCCCAGGTAATTGTGCCCTGTCTTAGATGATGTAGAAGAGGACATTTCTGGATGGGGCACCAGTGGCTCTTGCTTCTAATCCCAGCCACTCAGGAGGCTTAGATATGAAGCCAACCTGGTCAGGAAAGAGACTCATCTCCAATTAACCAGTAAAAAAGCAAACACAAAAAAACAGAAGTAGAGCTGTGGCTCAAGTGGTAGGACACTAGCCTTGAGCAACAAAAGCTAAGGACTATGCCAGGCCCTAAATTCAAGTGCCAATACTGGCATTTAAATAAAAGGGACATTAATACCAAGTGTACAGATTTATGAGGGCTTAATGTCTTAGTGCACATAAATCTCAATAAAGTACTTGACACACTGTTAGCACCTAATAAGTGCTAATTTTAACTATTTCTGGCATGTGGGGTTTACCGGCCTCATTCCTAACCCAATCTAACTGTGGTCAAGCCATGACTTACTGCCTGTGTCCCTAGGCCCCGGAGCGGCTGTACCTATCAGAATTGAGTCATCATCTTCACACGTGGCTGAAGGGCAGACGTTGGATCTGAACTGTGTGGTCCCTGGTCACGCCCATGCCCAGGTCACGTGGCACAAGCGTGGCGGCAGCCTCCCTGCTCACCATCAGGTATGGCAGAAAGGAAACGGGAGAACTGCTAGCCCGGGGCTCTCGAGGGAGGCCTGGGATCCCCAATGGAATGCCATGCCTACCTGCATTGGAGTGGCATCTTATACTGCTCCTCCCTGTCTTTTCTACCCTGTCAGGCCCACGGCTCAAGGCTGCGGCTGTACCAGGTGTCCCCGGACGACTCCGGCGAGTACACGTGCCGCGTGCTAGGCAGCTCTGGCCCTCTGGAAGCTTCCGTCCTGGTCTCTATCGAACCCTCTGGCTCTAGCACTGTCCATGTCCCTGGTGAGGGTCCCTGTGTGGGGCTGGGAGACTGGAGGAGGGAAGAAGGGAGGGAAGCAATGGCAGAGCTGGAAATGCTTAGGTAGGTAGAGACAGCAGCCCCTTGGGTCCCAGACCCCCTCCTCCTACATGCCCTTGTCCCAGGATGGAGGGACCTGGCCATGTGGGCTGGCTCCTGCCCAACTCAGAGGTGTCACCTAAGGGACTTGGCCCTCTCTCTGCTGTCCTCAGTTGCAAAGGGAGAGCAGAGTGCTTGCCTCTAGGGATAATTGTCTGAGTTCCCTGGAGTCTGGGGTGTGTGCCTCAGTGGTCACAGTAGCGTGTGAGAAACAAACATTGCTATAATGGAACTACATGTTTAGTAGATCGATAGAAGGGAAGTGTGTAGGAATTAGAACATGGAGGGCCACGCCACAGGAATAGGCCCTGTTCTGCTTATATATTAACTCATTTCCTCCTCCCAGAGCCCTTTGGGGTAGGGTGATGGTTTCTTCCTTTTACAGACAGGGAAATGGAGACAGAGAATTAAAGTAGCTTTCTAAAGATCACCCAAACAACAAATAGCTGAGCTGGGATTCGAACATGGGTAGTCTGGCCCCAGGGTGTGTTCTTTGCTGCCTCCACTGGAGTTTGGATGTTAGTGACCCACATGGAGAGGCTGAGCCTGGCTGAGGACAGGGCCAAGGGAGAGGCCTCCATCCTAGGTGGCCCAGCAGTACAGCCCCAAGGGGAATAGGAAAGGAGAGAAGCTGCTCCTGGTGGCCTCTGGTCTGCACATCCGGGCACCTGGCAGAGGGGCTGAGGGCAAAGTCCCAGCCCCACTGACCCCTGCTCCTCCCCAGCCTCAGGTGGAGCCCCACCCATCCGCATCGAGACCTCTTCCTCTCGAGTGGCAGAGGGGCAGACCCTGGATCTGAACTGCGTGGTCCCTGGGCAAGCCCACGCCCAGGTCACATGGCACAAGCGTGGAGGCAGCCTGCCTGCTCACCATCAGGTATGGGGCTTGAGAAAGGCAGATTCACCCTCCTCCACAACCCCAACTGTCCCTCCCAAACCCCGCCCTGAAGGGAAGGTGGCCTAAGCAATGGTGGCTAGAGACATGGCAGTCCATGACTGAGTCAGGGGCTCATGAATAGGCTGGGTAGGGCAGGCCCACAACTGGCCCCACAGCACGCCGGTGCAAAGTGGAAAAGCAGACCACTCACCCCCTCCAGATTCAGGGCTTCCTCCTGCCAGAGGAAAGTCATAACAAACCTACTAGAGTCTACATGTCCAGTGTCCAGGGATGGTCTTGACAGTGTGCAGCCAGCACACCTGCAGGCCTCCTGGGGGGATGGGTACCAGAGACAAGATTACCTGGAGGCCTGGGCTAGTGTCTCCAGCACCTTCTCCCCATTGTCACTCTACCCTGCAGGTCCACGGCTCTCTGCTGAGGCTAAACCACGTGTCCCCAGCTGACTCTGGCCAGTACTCCTGCCGGGTGACTGGCAGCTCGGGCACCTTGGAGGCCTCTGTCCTGGTCACAATTGAAGCCTCCAGCCCAAGACCCATTCCTGGTGAGTGGCAAGGAGACATAGACAGTGCTACCACCCCACTCAAGGCCCTTCCTGGGGTCAATCCTCTCTTCTCTCAGGACAGGGCCCTTGTTGCCTGGGCCTGGTGTTTTCTGCCATAGAAGACCAGGCCCACCCGATGTTTGCAGCTATGACTGGCAAAGCTGGCCTGGGTTCCTGGCAGTTCTAGCCCCCTCCCCCAAACACGGGAACCTTGCCTTGAGTCTCAGCAGCCATCTGTCCCTGGGAAGGGAGACTGTAGATCAAGGTGGCCCTGTTATGTCTACTGCTCAAGCCATAGGCCCTCCATGAAGATCATTGGCCTTCAGGGCCACTGCCACAGGTCCTTGCCCTCACCCCAGGAGCCATGCCTCTCTCCCACCCCTGTTCCCACAGCCCCAGGCCTGGCCCGGCCCATCTACATCGAGCCCTCCTCCTCCCATCTGGCTGAGGGACAGACTTTGGATCTGAACTGTGTGGTACCAGGGCAGGCCCATGCCCAGGTCACATGGCACAAACGTGGTGGCAGCCTGCCTGCCCGGCACCAGGTACGGGCCAGGGTGGAAAGGAGCCCCAAGGTAGGCAGAGTCTCCCTGCACTTGTGAACTTCCTGAATGAGGACACAGACAGGACACCTGTGAGGGGAGAGTTCCCAAGCAGGAGCTGAGAGGCCCAGGGGCTCCTAGCCCTGCTCCCAAGTGGTGTTGGTGTTGGTGGTGGTAGTGGTGGTGGTGGTGGTGGTGGTGGTGGTGGTGGTGGTGGTGGTGTGTGTATGTGTGTGTGTGTGTGTGTGTGTGCACGCATGCAAGCACACACACAGGTGCACTGATCCTGGAACTTGAACTCAGGGCCTGCATGCTGTCCCTAAGCTTTTTCACTCAAGGCTGGTGCTCTACCACTTGAACCACAGTTTCATTTTTGGCTTTTTGGTGGTTAACTGGAGCTAAACATCTTATGGACTTTTCTGCCCTGGCTGGCTTCGGCTTCCATTCTCAGATCTCAGATTCCTGAGTAGCTAGGACAACAGGCATGAGTCACAAGCCCTTGGCTCCAAGTCATCACTTGTGCCTCAGTTTCCTCCTCTAAAAAGAGAGTGGGTGGATTCTGGGATTCCATGGCAGAAGCCCCCTCCAGCCTGATCCCCCCGGCAGGAACTGAGCTCTGACATCCCTCCTCTCCCCAAGAACTGGCACAGCTCCCTTGGGGAGCTGCACATCTCAGTGCCCCGATCTGATGGCCGCTTCCCCTTCTCCCTCTGACAGGTACATGGCTCCCAGCTGCGGCTCCCCCATGTCTCCCCTGCTGACTCTGGCGAGTATGTGTGCCGTGTGGCCGTCGGCTTGGGCCCTGAGCAGGAGGCCTCCTTCACCGTCACTGTCCCCCCCAGTGCAGGATCTTCCTACCGTGAGTGTGGTGGCAGGGAGAGGAAGGCAGAGATGGGGAGGACCCTGAAGCTGAGGGGCTGAGGCTAGCCCTCCCCCCTCTGAGCTTGGCCTTCCCTCTTGGGCCTGCAGGTCTCCGGAGTCCAGTCATCTCCATTGACCCGCCCAGTAGCACCGTGCAGCAGGGCCAAGATGCCAGCTTCAAGTGCCTCATCCATGAGGGAGCCACTCCCATCAACCTTGAGTGGAAGACCCGGAACCCAGAGCTGGAAGGTGAGGACAGGAGCGGGGGCTGGCTGGAGGCAGGCAGGAGGGCCACTGGTATGAGGGTCCGGACAGGTTAGGTATGGCCCTGGGCAAAATGCAGACTCTCTCTAGTGAGTGGGCTGCATTCAGCAGTCACCAAAGACTCTCATTTTCTGCCACAACTCCTTGTCATGCGCCCACACCCAAAGGGTCAAGGTCATGGTGTAGAGATCTACCACTGGGCAGCACCAAGGCAGGAGTAGTTGACCTCTGCTTCCCCCAATATCTCCCCACAGACAATGTCCACATTAGCCCCAATGGCTCCATCATCACCATCGTGGGTACCCGGCCCAGCAACCACGGGGCCTACCGCTGTGTGGCCTCCAATGCCTACGGTGTGGCGCAAAGCGTCGTGAACCTCAGCGTGCACGGTAAGGGGCTGTGTCAGCCCCAGGTCCCTGCCTTCCTGGTTCCATCCCCACTTCTTAGAACCTTCAGGTTTACATTCTACCCCGCTTTGGGCCGAGGACGAGGAGGCATCTGCTCACCCTGCCATTGCTTTGTGATGGATGTGGGTCAGTGGGTCAGTGGTGGTTGTTTCTCCAAGCAGGACCCCCTACACTGTCCGTGCTCCCTGAGGGCCCTGTGCGGGTGAAGGTCGGGAAGGACATCACCCTGGAGTGCGTCAGTGCCGGGGAGCCCCGTGCTTCTGCTCGCTGGACCCGGGTTGGCACACCAGCCAAGATGGAGCCACGGATGTTTGGGCTGCTAGACAGCCATGTCGTTTTGAAGGTGAGTTCAGAATTGTTCTAGTTTGGGGTCTGAGGCCCTGTCCAGGACCTGCATTGAGTAGGTACCTGGAGGAGTGGGTAATGGACAACAAGTGGGTAATTAGTGGATGGAGGGAGAAAGTGAGTGAATGAGTAGATTGGAAGATAGGAGAGAAGAAAGCAGGAATGTGGAAGAAAGTAAGGGGGGCGTGGAGAGGGAAAGTGGCATGCACCCATAATCCCAGCACCCAGGAGGCTGAGATGAGAGCATGGTGAGCCTGAGGCCAGCCTGGGCTGCGTAGAAAAGTCCTATCTCAGCCGAGCACCAGTGGCTCACGCCTGGAATCCTAGCTACTCAGGAGGATGAGATCTGAGGAGCGTGTTTCAAACCAGCCTGGGCAGGAATGTCCATGAGACTCTTACAATAAACTGCTCAGAAAAAGCCTGAATGATGCCGTGGCTCAAGTGGTAGAGAGGCTTAGGGACAGAGCCCAGGCACTGAGGAAAGGGGAAAGGCAAGAAGAGGGGAAGGGAAGAGAAAGAAAGGAAGGAGAGAAGGAGAGAGGGAGGGAGAAAGGAGAAGAGTAGATGGGTAAGTAAGTAGAGGAATGACCAAGAGGCTGGATGAGTAAAGGGATATCATGAGGATGAGCCCTCAGGCAGCCAGGTGAAGGAGCCAGAATCCATGGAAAGGGGCCAAGGTCAAAGTCCCTGCCACACCCCACTTCCAGCTGCCCTGATTTCCTCTAGATTTCATCAGCTAAGCCATCAGATGCAGGCACCTATGTGTGCCTAGCCCAGAATGCCCTGGGCACAGCACAGAAGCAGGTGGAGGTGATCGTGGACACGGGCACCGTGGCCCCAGGGGCCCCTCAGGTCCAGGTTGAAGAAGCTGAGCTGACCTTGGAGGCTGGACGCACGGCTACCCTGCGCTGCTCAGCCACAGGTATGGCCAAGGGTGGGCCTACAGGGCTGGTGGAGCAGGGGTACCCAAAGGGTCCGAATTATAGACATGTCAGAGGTCTGGGGATGACACAATGTCTGGGCAGCACCTACCCCACAGAGGGACAGGATGCTGCCTGCCACCCTACACTCAACTAGTGCCCAGCAAGCAATGCCATGTTTCACTCCACAGGCACCCCCACTCCCACCATCCACTGGTCCAAGCTGCGCTCCCCGTTGCCCTGGCAGCACCGTCTGGAAGGCAACACACTGGTCATCCCCCGAGTAGCCCAGCAGGACTCGGGCCAGTACATCTGTAATGCCAGCAGCCCTGCGGGCCATGCCGAGGCCACTGTCATCCTGCACGTGGAGAGTATGACCCAGACCTCTGTCCTTGTGCTTCCCGCTCTGCTACATTGAGATCTGTGACACCCCCCCATACACATCACCAGGACCCCCTTCCACAGGACCTCTGCACCTGCACTCGCTGCCACTTACCCATATCCCCTCCTGTGTCCTCTGAACTCAGTCCCCAAGCCTCTGGGCTTCCCTGGTTGTCAGGTCACCGCTCTCCTCCTGACCCATGTCCCCCCACAGGCCCACCGTATGCCACCATCGTCCCAGAGCATGCCTCGGTGCAGGCAAGGGAGCCGGTGCAGCTTCAGTGCCTGGCACATGGCACGCCCCCACTCACTTTCCAGTGGAGCCGCGTGGGCAACAGCCTCCCTGGGGGCGCCACCGCCAGGAATGAGCTGCTGCACTTGGAGCCCACAGGCCCAGAGGACTCTGGCACCTACCGCTGTCAGGTCACCAACAAGGTGGGCTCAGCTGAGGCCTTTGCTCAAGTGCTTGTCCAAGGTAAGCCGCCGGGGCTGAGCGTGGACAGAAGGGAGTCAGCATTCCTCCAGGCATCTCCATGACCCCACCCTGGTCACTTGGGGACTCCCACTTGGTCCTCTGTTACCTACCTACCCACATTGCCCCAAGGCCCCAGATGGCCTGCCCCCTCCAGAAAGACCCTCTGCTACCACCCTCGGCCCCTCTAGCTCCCTCCCACCTTGTCCCTGGACACTGACCTTACACTGGCAGGAAGTCACGCCTCACCTGTCAGAAGGGTGGACAAGGATGCTCCAGGCAGGGCTTGCACATCATCATCCCACACTCCTGGTGCTTGTCTCCATGGGCCTGGAGGAGCTGGGTAAACACTGGACAGGAACAGTTGTAAGTGACAGAGCCACCCCCAGCATGCCCAGGGCCCCAGTGGATCTCTGAAGCGTCCAGCATCTCCATGCCTCTTACAAAGCCACGTGAGGCTGTGGGATTTTTTTTTTTCTGTTGGTCATAAGGCTTGAACTCAGGGCCTGGGGCATTGTCCCTGAGCTTTTTTGCTTAAGGATAGTATTCTAGCATTTTGAGCCACAGCTCCACTTCATGTTTCTGGTGGTTAATTGGAGAGCAGAGTCTCACAGACTTTCCTGCCCGGAGTGGCATTGAACTGAGATATTCAGATCTCAACCTCCTGAGTAGCTAGGATTTCAGGCATGAACCACTGACATCTGGCTGGTTTTGAACTTTGGGGCCCAAAATTCTAGAAACAGCAAAGCATGTTACCTATGAGTCAAGATCCTGAAATCTGGCCACAGACAAACCCAGCCTGTACCTTCGACCAAGTCACCTAACCTTGAACCTTTTCCTCTGTAGAGAGAAAACACCTCCATATAGGCTGAGTTAGAAAGACAACATGTCTGCAAAGCCCCTGGCTGTGGGTGGCACTCTGTGAACAGCAGTGACAGTGACATCTACTCACACCCCACAGTGTCTTCCCCATGGCCACATCTCTGGGTTCTCTCATCTTCACATGTAGGGAAAAGAGTCTTTCCAGTGTTTCCTTCCCTCCCATTCTTATCCTGGCCACACTCCCTGAACAAGGACTGGGTGTCAGAAAGCAGTGCCCAGCACCACTCTGGCCTTTTGAGTGCTGTTTGAATGACAGCATGAATGAGCAAAGAACGAATCAGCACCCAAAAACAAAATTAAAACAAAACAAAACACCTTTGTTCCCTGCTCAGAGAGGTCACCAGAAGAATGCCTCTTGAATGTTCGAGTGAAAGTTTCTTGGCAGATGCCAGGGACATGGCACACATGCCCATGGAAAGGCCTTGAAAGCTGGGCATGATGGTGAATACCTGTAATTCCAGTTACTTGGGAGGTTGAGGCAGGAAGATAACACTTGAGTTCAAAAATTCAAGATCATCCTGAGCACCATAGCGAGATCTGCCTTACAAACAAAAAGCATACAGAATGTCAACTATGTCTCCACAGGCCCTTCCGTCTCTCTGCCTGACACTTCTGGGAAGGCAGGCTCTCCACCCACAGTACAGGTCACTCCTCAGCTGGAGACCAAGAGCATCGGGGCCAACGTTGAGTTCCACTGTGCTGTGCCCAGTGATCGGGATACCCAGCTCCGTTGGTTCAAGGAGGGAGGTCAGCTGCCCCCTGGCCACAGTGTGCAGGATGGGGTGCTCCGGTGAGTAGTGGTGAGCCAGGACTGACTCAGGGACCCAAGGCTCACCAAGGGTTGAGTTACATGACCCGTCTATGGAGCCCAGCCTGAGTCAGTGTTCTTGGCTGTATAATGGGTTGCATAAGACTGCAGTGTGATTATCTAAAACACTTGGCCCCAGTAAACTGTGGCCCTTGTTCCTATTATTAGAGAAAAGGGAATAGCTGTGGGACCAGACATTTACAAGTGACCCCAGAACTCAGTTGGTAACCGTAACTTGGCCAGGGTGATAGTGACCCCTTAGAACAGGAAGAAGTCTTTGTTTTAAAAAAAAAATGTGGGCTGGGAAGGTGGCTCAGTGGTAGATCGCTTGCCTTGCATGCATGAGGCCCTGAGTTCGATTCCTCAGCACCACATAAGCAAAAAAGAAAAAAGCCTGAAGTGGCGCTGTGGTTCAAGTGGTAGAGCGCTAGCCTTGAGTTGAAGAGCTGAGGGACAGCGCCCAGGACCAGAGTTCAGGCCCCATGACCGGACCCAAAAAAAAAAAAATGTGTGGAGCTGTCCATGTGCAGTGTGGTGGGTTTTAACTCCCACACACTGCAAAGCCTTCACAGCTGCTACCTGGTATCTTCCTTCTTTTCCTTTACAGAATCCAGAACTTAGACCAGAGCTGCCAAGGGACGTATGTTTGCCAGGCCCATGGACCTTGGGGACAGGCCCAGGCCAGTGCCCAGCTGGTTGTCCAAGGTAAGAAGTAGCTTCTGGCCTCTGCTAGGAGCAGAAGGGGTACCCTATTCCAGGACCCTCCTCCCCATGATCAAGGTTGATGATTATTCTGTTTTACCTGCTGTGCCTGGTGAGTCAGGGGCTGGGTAAGTATTGTGAAGGAGGAAGGAGAGCACTGATGCCCACACTGTAACCCTAGCTACTCAGGAGGTTGAGAGCTAAGGATTGTGGTTCAAAACCAACCTAGGCAGAGAAATCGAGGAAACTCTGATCTCCAATAAACCAGCAAAAAGCCAGAAGTAGAGCTATAGCTCAAGTGTTAGAGCACTAACCTTGATCAAAATAATCAAATGCAAGTACCAGGCCCTGAGTTCAGATCCTAGTACTGATACACACATACACACACACACACCACAACACACAATACAGCACATACACACATACGAAAGAGTGAACTCTTGAACAAGTATGTGAATAAGGACAGTTGAGCAAGTACATGAATAAGCAGAAGAGCACACAAGTAGGCTTGTGAGTGGATACATGGGAAAGCCAGTAAGGAGGTGGGCGGTGCTCAGGGTCCCTTCCCTGCAGGCTGAAGCCTCCCAGCCAGCCTAACCCTGCATCTCCACTGTGCCCCTCATTCCAGCCTTGCCTTCGGTGCTCATCAACACCCGCACCTCCGTGCAGAGTGTGGTGGTTGGCCACTCTATTGAGTTTGAGTGCTTGGCACTGGGGGACCCCAAGCCTCAGGTGACATGGAGCAAAGTTGGGGGGCGGCTGCGGCCTGGCATCATACAGAGTGGAAGCATCATCAGGATTGCCCACGTGGAGCTGAGCGACGCGGGACAGTACCGCTGCACTGCCACCAATTCTGCCGGCACCACCCAGTCCCACGTGCTGCTGCTGGTACAAGGTGAGGCCCGTGGGGACCATGGTCCCCAGAGACAAGGAATGGGCAGGGACTTCCTGTGCCACCATTACCCTTTGCCTGCCTTGCTCTTCCTTTCTGCTGTCTTGGGATACTCTCTTGTCTATTGGCAGCAGAGGTTAGAGGATGGGTTTTATTGAGCTTCTTATGTGTTTTGGACATTAAGCCTCTGTCAGATGTATTGCTGATGAAGAGCTTCTCCCAGTCTGCTTACTGTATTTCTAGTTTAGTAACTATGTCCTTCGCTGTGCAGAAACTTTTTAGTTTGATGTAATCACATTTGTCAAGTCTTTGTCCTATCTGCTGTGCCCTTGGGACTCTTTCCAAAAAAGTTCCTGCCTATGCCTGTGCGTCTAGTGTTGTTCATACTCCCTCTTGCAATAATTGTAGTTTCAAATCTGACGTTGATGTCTTTGATCCACTTTGAGTTGATATTGGTGCGTGGTGGCAAATAGGGATCCGGTTTTCCCAACACCAATTATTGAAGAGGCTATCTTTTTTCCATCATGTATTTTGTGCTCTCTTGTCAAATATCAGATAACTGTAGATATATGGCCTTGTTTCTGGGTCTTCTGGTCTGTTCCATTGATCTTCAAGACTGTTCTTGTCCTAGTACCATGCTGTTTTTTGTTATTATAGCTCTGTAGTATAGTTTGAGGTCTGGGATTGTGATACTACCAGTAGTGGGGTTCTTTGGTTGTTGTTGTTTTTTGGTGTGGTTTTTTTTTTTTGCCTAAAATTGCTTTGGCTATTTGAAGTCTTTTGCTGTTATGAGTTTTGGATTGTTTTCTCTAGCTCAGTGATGAACATCATTGGGATTTTTATGGGGATTGCATTCAATTTGTAGATGGTTTTTGGCAATATGGCCATTTTTACAATATTAATTCTACCTATCCATGAACCTGGGATAGCTTTCCATTTCCTACGATCCTCTGCTCTCAGCCTCCTAAGTAGCTAGGATTGCAGGTGTGAGCCATGGGTGCCTGGCTGATGTGCTTTTTTTTTCTTTTTCTTTTTCTTTTTCCTAGTCCTGGTGCTTGAGCTCAGGGCCTGGGCAATGTCGCTGAGCTTCTTTTGCTCAAGGCGAGCACTCTTCCACTTCAGCCACAGTGCTACTTCCAGCCTTTCCTGTCTATGTGGTACTGAGGAATCGAACCCAGGGCTCGATGCATGCTAGGCAAGCACTCTACCACTGAGCCACCACATTCCCAGCCCCTGTGCTCTCTCTCTCTCTCTCTTTTTTTTTTTTTATCAGTGAACACTTCGATTTTCTCTTCTTTGATCTTAGTATCCCCCTGTGTTCTCTTGAAGCGGAGTTCTGTGCTAAAGGCCTTGTACCTCTGTTTGATCAGAGGGAGCTCCGGTTATTCAGTCCTACTCTACCATCTTGATTCACTTTCAATCTCCATATCTTCTGTGCCTCAGTGCTGCATTCTCAGATCCCCAAAGGGCTGCACAAAATTCTGCCCCAGCATTGTGAAAGTTGAGTGGACCTATATACCCAACTCTCTCCAGTCTCATCATGCGGCCAGGGATAAGCAACCTCAGTCCCCTCATCTGTGGGATGGGACCCAGTGCCTCTCTCAGGGGGGAGTTGAGGGTTAGATGAGCCGTAGCCATACTGGACACACAGACACTGTCTGTCCTGGTACTGATGGCCCATGTCTCATCCTCTCTCAGCCTTACCCCAGATCTCAACACCCCCGGAGGTCCGTGTGCCTGCTGGCTCTGCAGCTGTCTTCCCTTGCATGGCCTCAGGTTACCCAACTCCCGACATCACCTGGAGCAAGGTAAATGCTGGGTTTGGGCCAACAGGCCTGCCTCTCAGCTGAAGCCAGGCTTGAGTCATGTCAGCTCCCCAGGACCTGGCACAGAGTAACTGTCAGCATGTGCAGCGTGGGGCTGAGGCAGAGGTAGGAGGCATGGGCTGAGGCTGGGCACTCAGTGCTAATGTTTACAGCTGGATGGTGACCTGCCACCGGACAGCCGCCTGGAGAATAACATGCTGATGCTGCCTGCCGTCCGGCCCCAGGATGCGGGCACCTATGTGTGTACTGCCACCAACCGGCAGGGCAAGGTCAAAGCCTTCGCCTACCTGCAGGTGCCAGGTACGAGGACATGGGACATGATCCCCCCCACCCCCCACCTCCCGCCATTGTCAGTAAACTGATCCCCTCCCCAGTGCTGTCCTCTCTAACGGTGCCATCTGCCCCCAGAGCGGGTGGTGCCCTACTTCACCCAGACTCCCCACTCCTTCCTGCCACTGCCCACCATCAAGGATGCATACAAGAAGTTTGAGATCAAGATTATCTTCCGGCCCGACTCAGCTGACGGTGAGTGGGAGCAGCGAAGGTCTGCGGGCTGGCTTGCAGCTCTGCAGTCCCTGCATTCCCACAGACACCAGGCAGCACCCAGCCTCCCATGCCAGGCCTTGCCTCCTGCCTTCTTGCTTCCTTTCCTGCTCTCTGTGCCTTCCTCTTTCCTGCCGTCTCTTACCCTGTCCTTTCTCTCTCTCATCTCCGGTGGGCCTCTGACTCTCACTGCCCAGGCCTCCTGCTCTACTCAGGTGAGTCTCTGCCTCCCTCGCCTCCTACAGGCATACCACAGTGGGTGCATGAAGCAGTTCAGGTGCACACCCAGGGCTCTCAACAAGGCCTCTACTTAGAGGTCCATGTGTGCGAGCATGTGTGTGTGTGTGTGTGTACGTGTGCGTGCGTGCGTGCACATGTGCACGTATCATAGACTAGTATCAGAGTGGAGAGGTTGGAGCTTGGGTCATCTAGGGTGGGTGACAGGGAAGCCCTCACACAGCTGTGCCTCCCAGGGATGCTGCTGTACAATGGACAGAAGCGGACCCCAGGGAGCCCCACCAACCCGGCCAACAGGCAGCCTGACTTCATCTCCTTTGGTCTCGTGGGTGGACGGCCTGAGTTCCGGTGAGATTCTCATTCTTCTGCAAGAAGGACAGGGTGGGGCCTGGACACAGGACTTCAGTTGGTCCTACACTGCTGAAGGAAGGAGATGTGGCTTTGGTGACCACTGAATCTGCTGGAGTGAGCACAGTGTGTCCTTGGGTGGCAGGACTACTGGGCATCGTGGCTTACGCATGTAATCTCAGCTACTCAGGAGAATTGCCATTTGTTGCCAGCTTCAATGAAAAGTTCACAGGACCCTATCTTAACCAATAAGCTATGGGTGGTAGTGCATACATGTCATGATGCAGGAGGCATAAATAGAAAGAGCATGGTCCAGGCCATGAAAAATACCTAGTAAGAAAAAAGGACTGAAAGTGTGGCTCAAATGGTGGAGCACCTTCCTGGCAAGTATGAGGCCCTAAGTTAGAAACTCAATACAGGCATGGTGGATCATGCCTGTAATCCTAGCTACTCAAGATGATGAGATTTGAGGATGGAGGTTCCAAGCCAGCCCAGACAGAAAAGTCTATGAGACTCTTACCTCTAATTAACCACCAGAAAACCAAAGTGGCACTGTGGCTCAAAGTGATAGAGCACTAGCCTTGAATGAAAAAGCTCAGGGACAGCACCTAGGCCCTGAGTTCAAGCCCTATGACCAACAAATAAATAAATAGACAAGACAGCTGCAGATCAGGATTCATTCATTCATTAAGCAGTTCCTTGCTGGGCAACTACCGTGTTCCAGGCACTGACACAGATATAAACAGAACAGAGTTCTGCTTATGATATAAAGCATAACAGATGTTTATATGTTTATACCATAAACAGAACAGAATCCCACAAAGACACTTGTCTAGCTGAGGGACATAAGCCATAAAGGAAAGTGAAGTTATCTCAGAAAGGGTGACTGAGGTACAATTTGGCCTGGGCCTTGGCTGCAGGGCCCATGAGTCTCTGGGGACAGAGGTGGGGATAGAGGATCGGGGTAGAGGCCAGCGTAGGTTGGGGTGGGTGGTGAGGAAGGGCAAGCAGGGGCAGGACTGGAGCAGAGCAGCCGCAGAGCCTGGAGAACAGGAAACGATGGCCTCACCTCCGGAGCTCCATCCCCAACCCTTCTTACAAACCCCTCATCTCCACTCTCCTGCCCCACCCCATTGCACTCCACGGAACAGGTTTGATGCGGGCTCTGGTATGGCCACCATCCGCCACCCCACGCCTCTGGCCCTGGGCCAGTTCCACACCGTGACCCTGCTGCGCAGCCTCACCCAGGGCTCACTGATTGTGGGCAACCTGGCCCCTGTCAATGGGACTTCCCAGGTGAGAGCTGACCCCATCGCCTATTCCCAGTCTACCCCTGCCTGGGCTGTGTGCTGTTCCTGACATTCCCCATTCCCCCAGGGCAAGTTCCAGGGCCTAGACCTGAACGAAGAGCTATACCTGGGTGGCTACCCTGACTACAGTGCCATTCCCAAGGCTGGGCTGAGCAGTGGCTTTGTGGGTAAGCCCTCATCTGCCCCCCACCCCCCCACCCCCGCCCAAGGCTTCACTGAGAGCTGGGGAGAGCACCGCAGGGCATGTGCTGGGACTGGCAGGCTCTGCTGTGGCTCACACCCTCTGCCCACCCTCTAGGCTGTGTCCGGGAGCTGCGGATCCAGGGCGAGGAGACTGTCTTCCATGACCTCAATCTCACCGCACACGGCATCTCCCACTGCCCCACTTGCCAGGACCGACCCTGCCAGGTGGCCCCACACCCACATACCACCGGCTGGCCCAGTGAGGATGGGGGGCTGCGTAGGGGGCGTGGCCTGACTCCTGGGCTGCCTTGCAGAACGGAGGTCAGTGCTACGACTCGGAGAGCAGCAGCTACAAGTGTGTCTGCCCAGCTGGCTTCACTGGGAGCCGCTGTGAGCACTCAGAGGCCCTGCACTGCCACCCAGGTGCGTGCCCCACTCGTGCCAGTGGCTGCCACCCTTGATGCATCCCCTTCACGTCCATCCTCCCCACTGCTTAAGACCTCTCAGGGTTGTTGCATGGGCTCCCTCCACAGTCCAGTCCTCCCTAGGTCCCTACAGATACCCTACTACCAAGGTACCACCCCCACTGTCACCACAAGGTGGGTTGTGAGCAGGTGGGGGGGGTGGCACACCATCCACCGTACCGATGATGGAGCTGAAAGACCTGGATGCGATCTAGGCTTCCCTCCTCCCCGGGGCACGTGCTCGCCCTTTCATGCCCACTGTCCTCAGTCCAGCCTCTTCTGGACGCATAGGCCCCACCTGGGCAGCCTCCACGCTGCAATGGATAATGGACGAGGCTTAGGCCCCATGGCCCCCCAGTTCTGAGTCCCTTCAGTACCCTCCTCACCGGCCCTTCTATCCCTAGAGGCCTGTGGACCGGATGCCACCTGCGTGAACCGGCCTGACGGTCGAGGCTACACCTGCCGCTGCCACCTGGGCCGCTCCGGGGTGAGGTGTGAAGAGGGTGAGTGTGAGAACCCAGGCACTCAGCGCTGGCCGGGCATTCTGCTGGTTACCCTGGAACATGACAGGCCCTACAAATGGTCAGTGTGGTCCCCCAAATCCTCTGGCCACATGCCCACCCAGCCTGCATCCTCCAGAAAGGACCACTGTCCACTAGCCCCAACTACTGGCCCTGCCAGCCAGGACCAGGAGCCTCCGGGCACTGCAGATGCTGCCTAAGTGGTCCCGGAGCTCTGAGACAGGAAGGAGTGGGTGGGAGTCCCAGGAGAAGACCAAAAAGCTGGGTCCCCCAGGAGACCCCACTGGCCCTGGCTGAGCTGTGGCTGCCACAGGTGTGACGGTGACCACCCCATCCATGTCGGGCACTGGCTCCTACCTGGCACTGCCCGCCCTCACCAATACACACCATGAGCTGCGCCTGGACGTTGAATTCAAGCCATTAGCTCCAGACGGGATCCTGCTGTTCAGTGGGGGGAAGAGCGGGCCTGTGGAGGACTTCGTGTCCCTGGCCATGGCTGGCGGTCACCTGGAGTTCCGCTACGAGCTGGGATCAGGTAAGCATGGGGGTCAGACGCAAATGGGCCCCTGGGTGCCAAGCTCCATGCCCTCCTTGGCTTTCCATGCCCCAAGGAGTCTTGAAGGAATAAGCCCCCCTTCCCCACTGCCGTGTGCAACTAAGCCGATCCCTAATGATGTGAAATTCCTATTCTGCTCCCGTCACCTTGGGGTGGGGTTGGGCCTGGCCTCCCCCCTCATCTCCCTGTACCCGGAGTCCAGCTCTGCCCTATGTCCTCCCCAGGACTAGCTGTTCTGCGGAGCCCTGAACCACTGGCCCTGGGCCGATGGCACAGAGTATCCGCAGAGCGCCTGAACAAAGATGGCAAGCTGCAGGTGAACAGGGGGCGCCCTGTGCTGCGCTCATCGCCTGGCAAGAGCCAGGGCCTCAACCTGCACACCCTGCTCTACCTGGGCGGAGTAGAGCCCTCTGTGAAGCTGGCCCCGGCCACCAACGTGAGCGCTCACTTCCACGGCTGTGTAGGCGAGGTGAGGAGCGGCCCCTGGGACCACGTGTTTCCCCACTCAGCCTCCACTTCCTCCTCCACACGGGATAACAGCTGCATGCCGACAGCTCCTCCATTGGTTCCTGCTGCCCTCCCCTGCATGATGCTCTCTGCAGCATACGTACCTCTTCCCCCTGCCCCCACAAAATAGATACCAAACACACTTAAAGGAATACCTGCTTATCATAAACAAGTGAGAAATTATAAAGGAGTATAAAAAAGACATCAAAGCCACCTATATTCATAACACCCAGTGATAACTAAGTATTTCTGACTTTAGATTTTTTTTCTTTTTTTCAAAGCTGGCTTTGAACTGTGATCCTCAGATCTCAACCTCCTGAGTAGCTGTGATTATGAGTGTGAGCCACCAGTACTCTAACTCCTGTACCTCTTAGTCCTTCCGTGTCCCTGTGCCCACAGGTGTCTGTGAATGGCAAGCGGCTGGACCTCACCTACAGCTTCTTGGGCAGCCGAGGTGTCGGGCAGTGCTACGACAGTTCCCCTTGTGAGCGCCAGCCCTGCCGCAACGGTGCCACGTGCATGCCCGCGGGCGAGTACGAGTTCCAGTGCCTGTGTCAGGATGGCTTCAAAGGTGAGAGCCAGCCCAGAGCATGGGGAGCACCAGAGTCGGCAGCCCAGGGCTCAGGGGTCACAGATGATGAGCAGCCCCTGTAGCCCCTGCCCTTGGCCTCGGCCTGCAGGAGACCTCTGCGAGGATGAGGAGAACCCCTGCCAGCTCCGAGAGCCCTGTCTGCATGGTGGCACCTGCCAGGGCACCCGCTGCCTCTGTCTCCCCGGCTTCTCTGGCCCACGCTGCCAGCAAGGTACCTGGTCCTGGCCTTCTCCACCTCCCTCTTGGGGCCCAAGCTGGACACACTAGCTGACTGTGTGTGCTCACTGACCAAACCCCACTCTCTCCATAGGCTCCGGACATGGTACAGGGGAGTCTGATTGGCACCTGGAAGGCAGTGGAGGCAATGGTATGTATTCCCTGTGGCCAACCAGGCAGCTTCATCTCTTCTACCTGTCTCAGTCTCCTGTCCCACTAAGCTCCGCCTCTAAGCAAAGTAGGCCAAGGTGATGGAGTTTGAAAGGTCCAATAAAGGGAAGCTGCCTAAATCAGCATGATAGCCTTGGCAGCCCTTTGAACTCCTGACCTGTTTTCCTCTTCTGTACTCATGCATTCAGTCAACAAACATCTCTCCTATGTTCACCTTTGCCCAAGAGCAGTAAATGTAAGATGAATAGGGCAGAGCCCACATCTTCGGGATTTCACCTCTGCTTCAAAGTGAAAACAAGGCGCTGAGTGTGGCTCAAGTGGTAGAACACTGGCCTAGCAAGCATGAGGCCCTGGGCTCAACCTCCAAACCATAGTAAAGCATAGTAAATACTAAGTAAATTATACACATATATATCATATATTTTCTATATATGTATACATCCATATAGCAAAAATAATAAAAGTGAATGCTTGTTGAACATTGACAGCCACTGTGCATCGTTATAAACACATCTCTTACCACTGGTATAAGATGGAGCAGTGGTATAGTCGTTAAGAGCATGGACTCCGGAACTGGCCTGCCTGGGTTCAGATCCTAACCCTGCCATTTACTAGCTATGTGACTCTGGATGAGTCAGCTAGCCTCTCTGTGCCTCAGTTTTCTCCTGTATTAAATGTTACTTAACAGTTGAGATAAAATGATTAGACCAATATAGGCAAGACTTCATTACCCTCTCATCTTAAAAAAAAAGTACCTCAGTGACATTTTTCCCTAAGGCTTTGGATAAAATTATGTGTGAAGAGTTAAATTATTTTCTGTACTGAAGATTTAGAACAAGGTGGATGCAGAATGTTAGCTTTTGTGAATGTCCTCACCAACTCCCGGGTCATTACTAGGGTCTGGGTAAATGTAGCTGACTGTGAAATGGTCAGGCACAGAGTGGTCTTTTGGTAAGTGTCAGCAGTTATCTTAATCCTGTGGCAGAGAGCAGCACTGTGTCCCCTGCCCTTGTGCTGCCAGGCCTGCTCTGGCCAGTGCTGGCTGAGGGGCGGGGTATGAGCAGTAGAGCTGGAACGGCCAGGGTACAATCCAGGCCTGGGATTTCTGGCTGTTCTCCATCCTGAGGGGCTTTGGGGGCTGTGGGACTTTCAGAGATAAAGTCTGATAGAACATGACAGACAGCCTATGATAGCAGTCCCACTGTGTGCATTCTCTGGCGTACTTAAAGTAAGATTTTAGAGGAAGACTAAAGTTTCGGGGGCGGGCATTATATTTAAACTTGGCACCAGTTGCTCACACCTATATTTTAATCTTGTTTGGAGGCTGAGATTGGGAGGAGCTTGATTTGAAACCAGCCCAGGTGGAAAAGTTTCTATTGAGAAGGGTGTGGTAGCATATGCCTATCATCCGAGCTATGTTGAGAAGCCTAAGATAGACACCTATCTTAGGTGGGGCCAGTGTGCACTGAGGCAGAAAGTGAGACTCTATGTCAAAAATAACCAGCCACAAACAGGGCTGGAGGTGTGGCTCAGTGCTAGAAGTACCTGCCTAGCAAGCATGAAGCCTTAAGTTCAAACCCCAATACAACCCTCTAAAAAAGAGTTCTTTTTTTTTATTTGAAATACATATGTTTATTAGCACATTAAATAGCAAGGCGTAGCAGTGATTGTAATAGTTATTGCAGTTTCTAGTCATGATCACAGACCATTTTTGGTCTGCATTGAGATAAGCAACTATCAGTGACTTAGTCCCAGCACCTCAGCTGCCACACCTGGGATCCAAGGAGCTACCAGCTGTCAGTGACAGGGAGTGAACAGAGCAGCAGCGTTTTCCCCCAGTCCTGCAGTGGGGTGGAGATGGAGGTGCTAAGGGAACCGACTCAGGCCTGACAGCTGCAGCAGGTGAGCAGGTGGCTCAGCACACCCACCCTCCCACAGATGCCCCTGGGCAGTACGGAGCCTATTTCCATGATGGCGGCTTCCTTGCCCTCCACGGTGGTGTCTTCTCCCGGAGGTGAGATGGGAGTGGATGGGAGGCCAGGGTGGAGGATGGGAATAGAGATTTCCAACTCCTCACCCCTGGCTCCCCCACAGCCTGCCTGAAGCCCCCGAGACCATTGAGCTAGAAGTCCGGACCAGCAGTGCCAGTGGCCTCCTGCTCTGGCAGGGCGTGGTGAGTGGGCTTCTGGCCCAGGATCTCAGGGTTCCTGGGGCAGGAGATAAGCCTCCTGATGGCCCAGGCAGTGGCGGGAGAGGAAGCTGAAAGCTGTAGCCCTTTGTGGGGGCTCAGCTGTCCTGGGTGGGGACCCTAGAGAATCTGTCCTTCTTTGGCAGGAGGTGGCAGAGGCTGGTCACAGCAAGGACTTTATCAGCCTCGGGCTGAAGGATGGGCACCTGGTCTTCAGGTGGGTCCTGGCCCTTCTTGTCCCTTTCCTTGCTCCTTCCACTCCCAGCACCCTAGCTACCTACCACCTGCCTCCTCCCATACCTGTGCCCTGGTCCTACCCAGCTCACACCCTCACGGGTCTGTGTTTCTGTAGCTATGAGCTGGGAAGTGGGGAAGCCCACCTTGTCTCTGAAGACCCCATCAATGACGGTGAATGGCATCGGGTGACAGCACTGAGGTAAGGGAGCCAGCCGGGCACTAGGGGAAAGAGCCTGAAAGAGTTAAGGAGCCCAAAACTGCCACCACCCCTGCCCCCACCAGGGGCAAGGAAGAGACAGTGTGTTCAGAGAGAGAATGTGAGGCTGGTGTGGAAGGAGAGCTAGTCAGTGATTGTGCCACTGCACCCACTTACACTGTGGCCACTGTCATAGTGGGCCACACCTGTGACTCCAGCACTGCAGCTGGAGGTGGAAGGATCCCTCCTTGTAGATTTACAGGCACATTCTAGTTACACAAATGAGGGAAACCATGCAGCCTGTTTCTTTGTGTCTGGCTTACTTTGCTTAATACAATTTTCTCCAGATCTTTCCATTTCATTACAAATGATACAATATCATTCTTTCTGATGGATGTGCAGAATTCTGTTATTCTGTTGTGTATGTGTTTTTATATACATATATATATATATATTTATATATGCCATTTTCTTGATCCATTCATCTACTGAGGGACATCTGGATTGATTCCATATCTTAGCTATGGTAAACCATTCTGCAATAAACATAGTTGTACTGGTAGCTTTAGTGCAGCCTGGTTTGTGATCTATTGGATAAATGCTCAGGAGTTTGAAGACTTAGGGGTAGGGAGTTATGAGGCCAAATCTCTATCTAGTGAGAAAAGGCACACAGCAGAGGACATGTCTGGTCTGGAGTCCTCACCCCAAAGGAATGGAATTTTGGGCGTTCTGGGAGTTTGGGGGAAGGGGTCTGACCCAGTTCTTCTGCAGAAAGGGCCGGAGAGGCTCCATCCAGGTGGACGGTGAAGAGCTGGTTAGCGGCCAGTCCCCAGGCCCTAATGTGGCGGTGAACACGAAGAACAGCGTCTACATCGGTGAGTCCTGGCCTGGCCTGAGCCCAGCCTGTGGCCTGGGTGGAAACGCCTGCCCTGCAGAGCCAGAGTCCCCAGCCGGCCTGGCCTCCTGGGCTTCCGGAGCCGACAGCCCTTGTGCTTCCTCCGCAGGCGGAGCCCCAGACGTGGCCATGCTGACTTCGGGCAGGTTCTCCTCAGGAATCACCGGCTGCATCAAGAACTTGGTGCTGCACTCAGCCAGGTCTGGCGCGCCACCCCCGCAGCCCCTGGACCTGCAGCACCTCGCCCAGGCAGGGGCCAACACACGCCCCTGCCCCTCATAGGCCCCGCCTACCCCCACGGACTCCCGGGCAGCGTCCAGCCCGTCATTGTCAACTATATTATTATTAATATTATGATGATTTTTGTAAGGACCTGAGGCAATGCCACGCTTTGCTGCTATGCCCTGGGCTGGACTGGAGGGTGGGCATGCCACCTCCTATACACGTGCCAAAGCCCCCAGGCTACAGGGCAGGGCAGAGGGGAGAGGAGTAGGTAGGCCACCAGACTTGGGACCAGGCACAGTGGCCAGATGGATCCAGAACTCACCTCACTCCTCCCACCCAGACAGAGCCCCCAACATCAAGCTGGGCTGCCTATTTTTGCAGCCATGGGAAGTCCTCATTCCTATGAGAGCCGGCCTCAGTTTACCCCCCCCCCCCCCCCCCGTGACTTACCAGCTACCTGAAGAGGTGGTGTCGCAGTGGCTAGGATGCCCATGCCCACTGCAGAGCAGAAGGCAGCTCCCCTGCCCCCACCAGCCCCCGCCTGGCCGCTCCCCCACCCCAGCAGCCTCCCTCCACCCAGCCTGCATTCCACCACCCCTCACACCATCCAGGGCCCCATCCTCAGGGGCTGCAAGGGAAACCCCTCCAACCTCGGAGCTGCCAAGACAGAGCCCAGCACCAGAGTCCCACCACGCCAAGCCCCACTCCCCATCTTCTGGAGGTGAAGGCCCAGGATGTGGGGGAGAGGGGTCAGGAAGACAAGTGCCTTGGTGGGGAAAGGAGGGGACATGACAGCCCCACCCATCTGGGAGCCTGAGGACCCTAGAAAAGCGGCCCCAGACTCTGGCATTGGGGCGCCTGGCCTCAGGCCCTAGAAGGGACCCTCCTGTGGTCTTCTTCTTGGTTTTTCTTAATAAACGGTGCTATCCCCGCCGGGGGTCTGTTGTCTTTGGCTGCAGCCAGTGGGTGGGGCAGAGTAGGGCCTCAGCAGTCTGGGGGTGAGGGAGGGCGGCCCTAATACCTACCCTGGGCCAGGAGGTCATGCCCTTTCCTGACACCCACTGGCCCTCCACTCGACTCACCCTGCAGGGTGGGTTCCGTGGACTGGGCACATGCTACCTCCTAAGACCCTCACCCCAACCTGGAAGATGGAACTTGGCACAGACGGAGGCTGAGAGAACCGAGTGGCCTGTCTAGCGTCAGCCAGCTGGCCAGGCCACCAGGCCTCAGCGCCACGCCTTCCTTGCTAGGGATGGTCTCCCGGGTGCTGGAAGGCAGGCTGGCTTGGCTGCATCCCCGGGGTGACCCGGCCAGGACACTGGTAGCACGTGTGGCAGGCTGTGCCACATCTGAGGCGGAGGCTGAGGACCTCAGGGGGCCAGGCTGGTCCACCCAGGGAACAGCAGCACCAAAGGAGGCCCGTGAGGAGACCAGTAGAGGCCAGGAGCAGCAAGGAGGCCAGAGCCACCCTCGAGAGCCAAGGTCCTGCCAGAGGAAAGAGTGCACTCAGCCTCAGGCTGGGCCTGCTGCCAGGCCCACCACCCAGACAGGGACAATTGTGATCTTGGTGGAAGAGCCCCACCTTGCAAAGCCACATCCTGTGGAGCGGCATCCTGGTCGGCTGGGGAACGCCTCTCAGCTGCAGTGTGGGAAGGGACAGCAGTCCTGACGGCCAGGGAGAGAGACTGCCGGGGCCTGGAGGTGGCGTTGGCCATGCTTCCTGTCTGGTTGGATGTCACAGAAGGACCTGCAGCAAGCAGTAGCATGAGTGGCACACAGCCCTATCCTTCTGTCTTTCATTTAATCCTCTGAAGACCTCTCGGTCTATCAATGTCATCTTTCCATGTGCACAGAAGGGAAGGGAGGGACAGAGAGGTTGAGTTTGTTGTCAAGGTCACACAGCTGGAAACAAGAGGACATAAACTCATAGTCTAGCTCCAGGTCCTGGGGTTTTATAGAGTTTCTTCTCAACAAGGGAGTTGCACACACAGACAGGTGCTGGGTGCTGGGTGCTGACAGTATTTACAAGGTTAGCTTGTACTTTGCTTATTTGACTAATAATTCTGTAGTATCTACCACCCCCTACTCATTGCTGTAGAATCTGGGGGACACAACCAGGAAGCAAAATAGACAGTATAGTGTAGTAACACAGAAAAACATGAAGTGCTCTAGTAGGGCTAAGAGGCAGGGCATGGTGGCTGGAGATGGGGTGGGGTGGGGGTGTGTGCTATACTAGAGCTTGAACTTGGGACGTAGGCATTGTCTCTTAGGTTTTTTCACTTAAGGCTGGTGCTTTACTACTTGAGCCACCACTCTACTTCTGGCTTTTTAGTGATTAGAGATAAGCAGGAACTCATATCTCAGCCTCCTGAGTAGATAGGATTATAGGTGTGAGCCACTGCTGCCTGGTGAGTTTGTTTTAATTGTAGGAAAACACATTTACCATCTAACTACTTAATGTGTACAGTGCCATTCAGGGCCTTGAACTTACTCAGCAAGTTCTCTCAACTTGAGCCACACCTCCAGATCTTTTTTGCTTTATTTTATTTGGGTATAGGGTCTAGCATTTGTGCTCACGTCAGCCTGGACTGTGATCCCCCTTTTCCTGCATAATTGATGCACCTTGTCACACCCAGCATTGGTTGATAAGGGGGCTCACTTCCATTTTCTTGAATCCAGAGGACAGTCCTCTTGATGGGAGCCTTCTAAGTAGCTGAGATTACAGGTGTGAACCACTGCATTCAGCTCATCTTCAGAATTGTCTTCATTTAACACTCAATTCCTAAACCCTGCTCTGGGCAACCATGGTTTTACTTGATGAATCTAGCTCCTCTAGGGTCCTTCCTATTGGTCATACAGTATTTGCCCTTGGTGGCTGGCTGGCATCCCTGAGTACCAAGTTGATTTGGGTTGCAGCATGTGTCACAAAATCATTCCTTTAATATTCCATCTTACAAATAGATCACATTTTCTTTCTGCACTCTTCTGTAGGTGGACACAGGGTTGTTATTTTTACATAAAGGGGCCAGGAAAGAACTTGCATAAAGAATGAGGGGTAAGCAGAGACCTAAGGAGGTAATTCCACTCTGGGAGGCAAAGGAAGGAGCCTTTCCTCCAGGTGGAGGAAAAGGCAGAGACCAGAAGGCAGGAGTGTGGAGGCACCCCAGGTGGCTCTGTGGAGAGGTCGAGGGCAAAGGGAAAGGGCTGGGAAAGGCTAAAGGCTGGCAGGAGGGGAGAAGTGAGTTGAGGGGGCGTGGTCAGCATGGAGGCAGGACAGGTGGCAGGGGCCTGTGAACCCCTGGGAGGCTTTCCTTTCTCTGAGAGATTGGTGTTGCTGCAGAAGTGACACTGAGTTATGTTTTAGGAGGCTCCAGCACAGGAAAAACCTAACTTCCCACTCAAGTGTGAGCAGCACATAACAACTTCCAAAGGGTACAGTGCAGAGAAATTCACCAAGAAAGCAAGTTGCCAGGCACCGGTGGCTCATGCCTGTAATCATAGCTATTCAGAAGGCTAAGATCTGAGGATCACAGTTCAAAGCCAGCCTGGGCAGGAAAGTCCATGAGACTCTTATCTCCAATGAACCATCTAAAAGCCAGAAGTGGAGCCATAACTCAAATGATGGAGCACTAGCCTTGAGGGAAAAAGCTCAGGGACAGCACCCAGGCCCTGAGTTCAAGCCCCAAAACTGACAGAAAAAGGAAGGAAGGGAGGGAGGGAGGGAGGGAGGGAGGGAGGGAGGGAGGAGTGAGTGAAAAAGAAAAAGGACAAAAGGAAAGAAAGAGAAATGAAGGGAAAGCTGACCTCAGCCAGGGGTCAAGGTCACCAGCCATCAGTAATGTTTTTTGTATGAAACTTTGCAGCAGGAGGAGCTGAAGGGAGGAGACAACTAACTACTAACCGGAGTCCTAGGGCAGGAAGGATATTAGGTACAAAGTAGGAAACCCTGACTTTAATTAATAACAATGTATCACTGTTGCTCAGTTAATCAAAACAAATGTGTCCCAGTAATATAAGATATTAACAGTAGGCAAAACTCTTGTCAGGGGATTGTTTGAACTATCAATATTTGGTAAATTTACAACTGTTCTAAAAGTCTATAAAAGGCAAAAAGAGCTGGAACTTGTAGCTCATGCCTATTATCCTAGCTACTCAGGAGGCTGAGAGCTGAAGGATCAATGTTCAAGGCCAGCCCAGGCAGGAAAGTTCTCTAGACTCTTAACTCAAAAACAAGCAGCAAAAAGCAAGTAGTTCAAGTAGTAGAGCACCAGCTTAACAAGTATAGGATCCCGAGTTCAAGCCCTAGAACTGGAAGGAAAAAACTTTTTTAAAGCACCTCCCTGCAGGGAGATCAGAAGTTACTATAACAATCAGACCAGGTGTTGAACTAGAGCTTGAGCTCAGGACCTAGGTGCTTTATCATTTGAACTATGTAGCTCTACTTCTGGCTTTTCGGTGGTTAATTGGAGATGAGTCTCACATACTTTCCTGCCTAGGCTGGCTTTGAACTGCAGTCCTTAGATCTCAGCCTCCAGAATAGCTAGGATGACAGGCTTGAGCCACAAGCACCTGGCTGAACTTATCTTTTTTTGGGGGGGAGGGGAGGGTCAGTTGTGGACTTGAACTCAGCCTGAGTGCTGCTCTTCAGCTCAAGGCTAGCGCTCTACCACTTGAGCCACAGCACCACTTCCGGCTTTTTTCTTCTTGCTTATGTGGTGCTGAGGAATTGAACCCAGGGCCTCATGCATGCAAGGCAAGCGCTCTACCACTAAGCCACCTTCCCAGCCACTGAACTTAAATACTTACAGGGGGCTGGGAAGGTGGCTCAATGGTAGAGCGCTGTTCAGGGGGCTGGGAAGGTGGCTCAGTGGTAGAGCGTTTGCCCTGCATGCATGAGGTCCTGGGTTTGATTCCTCAGTACCACGTAAACAGAAATAAGCCAGAAGCAGCACTGTGGCTCAAGTGGTAGAGTGCTAGCCTTGAGCTTAAATGCTGAGGGATAGTGCCCAGGCCCAGAGTTCAGGCCCCACAACCGACAAAAAAAAAAAAAAAAAACAGAAGGTCATAGAGGATGAATTGTAATAGTCTATGGCTCTGTCAACCACCTGGAGGGCCACACATGCCACTTTAAGTCCTGGAATAAACCAATATGTACTGATGTGGAAAGAAGTTCATGAACGAATGAGTAAAGCTGATTGCTGAACATGATGATCTGTTCAGATGTAAAATAAAATGTTTTTTAAAGTGTCAATATTATACTGGGCACTGGTGGCTCATTCCTGTTATCCTAGTGACTCAGGAGGCTGAGATCTAAGGATAGGGGTTTGAAGCCAGCCTGGGTAGGAAAGTCCGTGAGACTCTTATCTCTGATAAATTACTCAGAAAAAGCCAGAAGTGGGGCTGTGGCTTAAGTGATAGACTATACTGGGCGCTGGTGGCTCACACCTGTAATCCTAGCTACTCAGGAGGCGGAGATCTGAAGATCGAGGTTCAAAGCCAGCCTAGGCAGGAAAGTCCATGAGACTCTTATCTCCAATAAGGCACTAGAAAACCAGAAGTGGTGCTATGGCTCAAGTGGTGGGGTGCTCGCCTTGAGCTGAAGAGTGCAGCAACAGCGCCCAAGCCCAGAGTTCAAGCCCCACGACCGTAGACTACTAGTAGTCGTAGACTACTAGCCTTAAGCAAAAGAAGCTCAGGGACAGCACTCAGGACCTGAGTTCAAGACCCAGGGCCAGAATAAATTAAATAGAGTCTGGATGGTGATATCTTAAGGAGACAACCAAGAAAGAAGATGATAAGATACAGAAGATGATGAGCACAGTGTTTGAGGAAAGCAACCAGAAACCTGCAAAGGAGCTAGCGAAGTAGCTCAATGAGGTGTTGGGGCTCTGGTCAGTGCATTTCACTAGAGCAAGGTACTTTCTTACAATGAG